CGACGAGGATCCCTTCTCCTGTGGTTCGGCATATGTAGGCTAAAATCGCTGTTTTCTATGTGAATATATAGTAAATGAATTCCTGTGATCAAAGCTGAATTTATCATCATTACTCCAGTCTTCAGTGTCACATGATCCTTCACAAATCACTCTAATATGAGGATTTGATGCTCAAGAAACATTTATGACTATTATCAATGTTGAAAACGGTTTGTTTTTGTGGAAACGGTGATGCAGTCAATTTTTCAGGATTCTTTGATGAATAGAAAGTTCAAAAGAACAGCTTTTATTTGAATAAAATCATTGTTTGAGAATCGGACTATCGAGGTTTTATGTTTTCATGCTGTAGATGGACATTGTAGTTTGATATGGACTTTCACTTCTTTTAAATAATACAAATTAACAATGTAGTAATGGAAGTCGGCAGTACTTCATTACTTCAATGAGCTCATTGTTTCTGCCTTAAATTATTACATTGTTCAACCCTTGTGCTTCAATTAAAAAAAGTTACACATAGGTAAAAAGAGGACCAATATGTTCATGTCAAAAAACTGTCATAAAAATGTGACGCTTTGGAGCACAGACTTAAGTTTGGCATCATTTTAAAGAAGACCCTTTGCAGATTATTGCTGAAGTAAAAAAATAATAAGTAAATCAAAAAAAAAAGTTATATTTATGAAAATTATAAAATATATTTTATATAAAATATATATTTTATAAATCAGGTTGAACTCAAAACTGCAATAAAATCAAAGCCATAAATCTAAATAGGTTGTGTTCCAAATTTGAGGATGATATCTCAAAAAATGAGCTTTGGGTAACAGTTTGTTTGGGCGTAGTAACATATTTTCCCCATTGGGTGCCAGCAAAAGCTCACAGTGATTGGATTTGAATTTGCAGTTTTTCTCAGTCTTACAAACACACACATGCGCACACACACATATTTTTTTATAACACGCATACTAACCACACTCTGACATCCATACCAACACACCCACACAAATATCGTTGCATAATTTATCCAGCTGGCTCTATAATATGCCGAACCAGAAAACAGGAATAAAGCGATATTTGTTTATAGGCCAAACTTAAAAAAAAATGGCACCATCTGATAAAAAATAGTAAAAAATTTAATTTTGAAGCCTTGCCATCAGACTGAAAGCCTCTTAACAAAGATTGCATAATTTTATAGTTAACTGAACCAGGGATTAAAAATGGCAGTTTTAATGGGTTTCAATGGGGACATTTTTGTCCAAAAGACACTGAGAGGGAGTATTTTTTTGTACCTAATGCAAAAAAATATATTTTTTTAACAAAATGACGGTGAAATAGTACATTTCCAATAAAAATACACACCTGTGGCAAGTTTTTTGCAGTTAGCTTTAACACAGGCAAAGTGATCAAAAAAACAAAACTGAAAAGGACAAAAATGTCCATACGGATGCACAAGGGTTAAATTAATGCATTTTTTGCTAACTGTTATTTTTGTATATGTACATTTCTGAAATACATAACTTAGACAGTTTCCTCTAATAACGGATCGCTCCTAATTGTATGTGAACTGTAAAGCTGTTTTGGAACGATGTGTATTGTGAAAAGCGCTATACAAATAAATGTGAATTGAATTGAATTAAAAGCTGTTGATGTTGTAGGGGTTCAGTCCGAGGTTAAGCGGTGATGCACGGTTTTGACCTGCGGCTCTGAAATCATAAGACCCTCACACACACGTGTGTGTCAGGACTCTCGGATGTCCCGGAGCCTCCTTTTATCAGCAGATACACGACACAGATGTACTTGTCTCCGTGTGAAGTTTAAGGCAATCGCTTGATAACATCATCAGGTAGAGGCTCATGTGAGCTGCAGACGCACGTAGGCGTCTGATTAAAAATAAAAGCTTGTATGTATGTGCTTCACACTTTTATGGGTGTTGAAGGCAAGGTGACCTTTCGTACTGTTGTTCATCTGGCTTATGAGTTTGTATGTTTTGTCAGCATGCATATTTGTCTCCCATTGTTATGAATTTCACTATTAATTTTGTCAAAAATACATTTTAATATGAAAAAGTACTTGGTGCAGCTTTAATAATGAGGTGTGCATTGTGCAGCTCTTAGTGTTGTGGTCCACTGCACTCGCTCATGTTGTGGCAGGGCTTGGGTGACATCTAACAATAGGTGTGTGTGTGTGTGTGAATGAGGGGAAATGACACACTGACTCGCCCCAGGTTCATCTTTAGTGTATGAGAGAGTGCAGCAGGAATGAGTGACTGATCCGCAGCTGTCGGGACTCCACGGCTGAAAGAGTTAAATGGCTTCTGCTCCATCATGAACATGACCCACTCGGACTGCTTTGTTGACCTCGTGTTTTGCACTTGACTTATATATACTCCAGAGTAACCGAGAGCCCTGACCCCGCTGTGAGTCTGATCGGCACGTCCCATGTGAGGTATACTTGCGTCGTCATCCAAACATGCCGAATAAATGCTTAAAGTGACGGAAAAATGCACATTAAAAATGATTTACAAAGCAATTAAAAATAAATTATAACTTTTAGTCAGCAAGGATGCATTAAAGGAGTAGTTCACTTTTAAAAAAAACTTTTGCTGATAATTTACTCGCCCCCATGTCATCCGAGATGTCCATGTCTTTCTTTCTTCAGTCGAAAAGAAATTAAGGTTTTTGATGAAAACATTCCAGGATTTTCTCCATTTAATGGACTTCAATGGGGTCCAAACGGTTCAAGGTCCAAAAGACAGTTTCAGTGCAAATTACAAACTGTTCGAAGGGCTTTAAACGATTCCAGACGATGAATAAGGGTCTTATCAAGCGAAACGAGCGCTCATTTAATAAATAAATAACAAAGTTTAAGTTTTAGAAGCTCAAATGCTCGCCTTGCTCTGTTCTGTGTGACTCTCGTGTTCGAACTCGTTTATCAAAATGAACGAAACTTTTTGTGAGTCAATTCGTTCATTTCCTTCGTTGAATGAACCAAATGACTCAAAACGATTCGTTCATTTTTTTGAACGAGTTCGAATAGGAGATTTTTTTAAATGAGCGATCGTTTCGCTTGATTTCGTCTGGAATCGTTTAAAGCCCTTTGAACAGTTTGTAATTTGCACTGAAACTGTCTTTTGGACCTTGAACCGTTTGGACCCCATTAGGGCTGGGTATCGATTCGCATTTCAATTTCGATTCGATTTCGATTCGCAAGCTCTCAGTTCGATTCGATTTCGATTCTCAATTCGATTTTCGATTCCTGATTTGATTCTCGATTCAACTATAATGAAGATGTAATAAAAATCCTATATTTATAATTTATAAAAAAGAACAGTGGACATAAGTTTACTAGTGGTTAATTAATACAAGAAAATTAAGAGCCATAAACCTATATATAAAACACTTTTTTATTTTAGGTACACTAAATGCATACAAAGATTTTGATGCAATATGCAAAAAAGAGTCGCACAGTCGCACAGAACAGTATCATGTTATTTTATGTTTAAGAAAGAGAAATATATAAATATTTAGACATTTTTTACATTGATCTTACCTACATGTTTTTTTTGTTAAGAGTTTATGTATGGATGCTTGATTTCAATCTTTGAATTAAATTGAAAAAAGTAGCACAAATAAATACAATAGAATAAAGACACAAATTAAGAGACATTTTGGGGTAGTTTTTGGGTATGTCAGATATACTACAGAAACTGACTAAAGTAATCCAATGTAAAATAACACTGGATAGTCTTTTTAGTCCAGACTGAATTAAATACAAAGGCTATTAATTCTGATTGCTTACAATTAATACTATATTCTGTTGTTATGACAACAGAATTAATGACTGACACAAATGGCTGCGTTCACTTTAAGAACTAGTGCGCGAATCCATTACTGTTTCATTAACTTTCTGTCACACGCGTTTAATGCTAATTTAAGACATTACCGACTGTCTTTAGGAGGTTACTCACCAAGACCAGAGTTTCGACATAATGTTGCGTGTTTTAACTGTTAAAGCGATATAATCCAGGGATAAAACTTTTGTTTCTGGCGAGCTGTTTGTGAGGCGGATTTAGGCTGTGCACGCAGTGAAAGAAATCTCTGAGAGTGCGCGAGTACGGGATGGTTTAACATTGCTTGAGCAAATAAATGATAAATCTTAGTTACGATCATAGGTCACGATGCAATGCTGGCCCGATTGTGCAAGTGAATATTCCGTCGTGTCCCGACTCCTAAACGCGTGTGTGTATCGACAGCTGCAGCGCTTGGCGCTTGCCTAGTGCAGAGAGACGAGAAGATGCAGCACCGCGTCCGCGAGCCCTTTATGCTATATGGAAAAAAATCGATTCGTGGCCATTGAGAATCGATTTTGAATCGACCACATTTTAAAAAACGATTAATCGAAAAATCGATTTTTTTGCCCAGCCCTAGACCCCATTGAAGTCCATTATATGGAGAAAATCCTGCAATGTTTTTATCAAAAACCTTAATTTCTTTTCTACTGAAGAAAGAAAGACATGGACATCTTGGATGACATGGGGTGAGTAAATTATCAGCAAAAGATTTTTTAAAGACAGTTTAAAAATCTATTTCGAATAAATGCTGTTCTTTTGAACTTTCTATTAATCAACGAATCCTAAAAAATAAAATTTATCTCGGTTTCCACAAAAATAGTAACCGTTTTCATCACTGATAATAATCATAAATGTTTCTTGAGCATCAGATCATCATTTTATAGTGATTTCTGAAGGGTCATGAAGACCCATGTGACCCATTTTCTGAAGGGTCATGAAGACTGGAGTAATGATGCTGTAAATTCAGCTTTAATCAAAGGAATAAATTTCAACATATGCACATAGATAATATTTCACAATATTACTATTTTTTGAGCAAATACATGCAGCCTTGGGGAGCAGAAGAAACGTCTTAAATAAAAAATAAAAAAAACATAAAACTAAAAAAGTGCAATGTCAGTGTGTGTGTAACGTCTCTCTCTGTCTCCTCTAGAGATATATTGAGTATGAGGACTCGCAGGAGCAAGACAGGAAGGATCTGCAGAACCGTGTGCAGCTTCTGGAGGCCCAAACCCGACAGATGGAGCTCAAGACCAAGAACTACGCGGATCAGAGTGAGTGAACCGCTTTCCCTCACCTTAGTTAGGACATTAGCATTTTTACTATTAAAATGTCCTGACCTTGGAAACCGTGTTGGTCTTGTTTTGCATGTCGTCATTAATGACTCTCCTTCATGTCCAGAACACAGTTTAAGATATTTTAGATTTAGTCCGAGAGCTTTCTGTCCCTCCATTGGAAATGTGTGTACGGCAGTGTTAATTTTGACAGCAAATTTTGATTTAGTTTAGTCTTTTGACTAAAACTAAAACTAAATCAAAGACGTGTGTGATAGGCTTGCCGCGATAGACGGTGTTGACGGTGTTACCGGTTTTAAGCCCCATCACCGGTGACATCACTTTCCCACCGTGACACCGCGATGTCTTGACTTTTTTTTTTAAAGTATTCGTTTTTGCTAAAATATTTATTTGAATTAATTAAAAATAATAATTTTCAATTATTTAGTTCTGAAGAGAGCATTATAATTAAAAATGAACTGCGCAACGCGTGCCGTCACGTCACAGATCAGCAAGCATCAGGATTCCATTTAGCGCGTGTGGAGACGAGAACGAGTCAAATTACAGAAAATCAAGATAATGGCGGAAGATTTGGTGTCAAAACGCAATGCAAAAGCGCCTGTTTGGCAATATTTTGGCCAATATATATTAATGTTAATAAATGCCAATTTATGGTGTTTTACTTTTTTTTAGAGTGCTGTCATTTATGTAGGCTAAGGTCCTTTTTAAAGTTTTTATTTTATATTCGTCTCTTTTTATTTGGTTTTATCTTATTTAAACTTTGTTTAATTTATTTAGGCCTATTTTGTTTTCTTATTCGTTAATAAACGTTTTATTTTTTTTGGGCCCACAGTTTGCTGATTTTCACTTTTTTCAGCCTATGCATGGGGTTATTTTTATTCGTTCGTTATGCTAATAAAAGTTCTGTCTATATTTTATTCGTTTATTATTCTAATAAAAGTGCTGTCTAAATAAAAGTTTATTGTCAGCGAGTTGTTTTTTTTTTTTTTGTTGTTTTTTTTTTGTCCATTCCAGCAATTGACGCTGAATTGCAATTGACGCTTATTTCGAAAGTGAAAGTATGTCATTTATGTAGGCTAAGGTCCGTTTTGAAGTTTTTATTTTATATTCGTCTCTTTTTAATTGGTTTTATCTCATTTAAACTTTGTGTAATTTATTTAGGCCTATTTTATTTTCTTATTCGTTAATAAACGTTTTATGGTTCTTATTTGTTTGGGACCACATTTTGCCGATTTTCACTTTTTTCAGCCTATGCATGGGGTTATTTTTATTCGTTCGTTATGCTAATAAAAGTCTATAAATAAAAGTTTTATTATCAGCGAGTTGTTTTTTTTGTCCATTCAAGCAATTGACGCTTATTTTGAAAGTGAAAGTATAACGCGCACGCATTTAAAAGCTATTTAACCCCCCCGCCCTGCCCTCCACGGTGACACCGGGATTACCGGTGTTGTCACACGTCGATTAACCAGTGGGAAATTTTCCTCACCGCGGCAACCCTAGTGTGTGAAGATTGTTTTGTACAGCGAGCGTCTCCCTCAGACTGTAACCGAAGCTCCGCTCCCTCAGACAATACAATGCTGAATAAAGTCGTAGTTTTTGTTATTTTTGGACCAAAATGTATTTCTAATGCTTTAAAACACTGTATGTCACATGGTCTACTTTGATGTCTTTATTTCCTTTCTGGACAAGGACAGTATACCGTACACACATTTCCAATGGAGGGACAGAAAGCTCTCCGACTAAATCTAAAATATCTTACATTTGATTTCCATGCAGAAAACTTTAAATACACAAATCAAATAGTTTCTGAAAAAAAAAAATCATAGAATTGATTCTTAACTCATTAATTGTTGAATCATTGAATATTAAACCATTGAAAGGGAATCCAGAAAAGAGAAAACTTTTAATAAATAATTGTTAAATTGTCTAAGTTTCAGGATTTCGATTAATTAGACATGCTTTCTCATTAATGCAATTTAATAAATCCCTTAAAATGGGAGTCAAAAGAAATGTAAATGAAAAAAGTATATATATAATCCAGACTTTTTTGGAATTTGGGAAAAAAATAAAATGATTTTACAGGGGCCTATTACACACACACACACACACACACACACACACACACACACACACACACAGTGTTTGACTGAGAACGGACTGACCTGGATTACAGATTAAGGGCTGCTGAACTCGGCCACATGATGTGTGTATGACCGTGTTTTACTGCCAGGCTCACTCCAGGTGTTTTATGTAAATACTCCTGTCATGTGACACACACACACACACCTCTAATGAATCTCATCAATTCTGTCAGTGTCCTGAATGAGGATTAAAAACTGTTCCCTGCATTTCAACGTTCAGGTTCAATCAATTGTGTTTGTGCAGGAACTTCCTGTTTTGTGGTTGCGTATAGTAAGTCGTTTTCTATTTCCCGGCTGTCACTGTAAATGGCCCGAGGATACACTGGAGAAGTGTCTGATATGATGGACACACACTTTCATTCTCTTATGTTCCCATAGCTAACTTTCAAATGCCTAGATTTATAGCAAATCAACCTTACAAAGCCTTTCTAATTTGAATTTAGTTTTTTTTAAATTATATTATTCCATAATTATGACCAAAACCACTTCTGTTGCCATGGAGATGGTCATGTTTCCAGCACTTGTTGTCAGTGCTAACTTGGAAGAATGATATTTAATTATTTTTGCTTATGTGGATACACACACACGACCTTTCAAAAGTTTTTTTTTTTCATCAAGGATTCATGAAATTGATCAAAAGTGTCAGTAAAGACATTTAAAAAGTTTAAAAATGTTCCATTTAAAATAAATGCTGTTCTTTTTAACCTTCTATTAATCAAAGAATACTGAAAAATTAAATGCATCACGGTTTCCACATAAATATGAACTGTTCAAAACTGATAATAATAATCAAAAATGTTTTTTTGAGCAGCAAATTATCTCTGAAGGATCATGTGACACTGAAGACTAGAGTAATGATGCTGAAAATTCAGTTTTTATCACAGGAATAAATTGCAGTTTATTATATATTCACATAATTTTACTGTATTTTTTGATGAATTAAATGCAGCTTTGGTGAGCAGAAAACATTATAAATCATATCTTTACCGTCAGTGTATACATGTAACATTTTAACATTTTAATTCTAGAAAAGTGTGCATTTTCAAAACACATTTTCTGAATCGATTCAAACTGATTCATAGAAGGCAATCTTACATTATCAACACCATCGTCACTACGTCACATTAGAGACGAGGACCCTGAAACTACTTTTATGAGCCTTCATAGTCAAATTTAAAACCCGTTCATAATAATAATTCACAGTCATGAGGTCACGTGGGAATTTTCTCACCGTTTCAAAACAATATTAATATGTGTGAACTTTTCCTGTATTGTTGGGGTGTATTTATGTGTTATAACACATTATAATGAGAGGTTTACTGTAGTTAATGGACGAGATGCTGTTTTATTTCTGTGTCTGTACTGCCCCCTCCTGGCTGTGTGTTGTTACTACAACGTGTGACTGTTCAGATCCCTACAGAAAAGCCCTAAAGTCACAGTAAACCTGTATTTAAACACGTAAACATTCCTCTGCTTTTAGTTGGCCGATTGGAAGAGCGGGAAGCCGAGCTGAAGAAAGAGTACAATGCCCTCCATCAGAGACACACAGAGGTAAGAACCATGTCTGTGTGTAAAAGATGCCTTCGCATGTGTCGGCAAACAGTAATGTGAGTGTTTGGGTCTGCAGATGATCCACAGTTACATGGAGCACCTGGAACGAACCAAATACCAGCAGCAAACGGGGGAGACGGCAGACACGGCCAATCAGAGCCGCATCAGGTGAGAGTGTGCTCTGATGAATCATGATATTTACTAGGGCTGAAAAAATCCTGCTCGATTTGTGACATAAGTGTTCATTAAATCGATTTTCCATTTTCAACACCAAATATCTTCAAATTCACGGACACCTCACAGGCGTTAGGACGAGCGTAAAGAGGCGCTTGACACGCACAAGTCAGCAATATTCCTGATGATTTATTGGCGTGAAGTTTCTGCACAATGACAAACAGGAGCGCAACATTCAGGGATTGAGATTAAAGGAGTAGTTCACTTTTGAAAAAACACTTTTGCTGATAATTTACTCACCCCCATGTCATCCAAGATGTCCATGTCTTTCTTTCTTCAGTCGAAAAGAAATTAAGGTTTTTGATGAAAACATTCCAGGATTTTCTCCATATAATGGACTTCAATGGGGACCAAACGGTTCAAGGTCCAAAAGACAGTTTCAGTGCAAACTACAAACTGTTCAAAAGGCTTTATATTTTGTATAATATTATTTCATGCCTAATCCTGATTACAGGCTTAGATTTATGGCCTGCGACCGACGAAAATGCACTTCACTCAAAGGTCCAGACAATGACAGATTTTTTTGGAAAAATCAACTTATGTAAAGTTCTTTGAGTTTTTTTTTAATCATATTTCAACCCCTTTGCAGTAAAATTATACATTTAGATTTTTTTTTACTTTGATTCTGCACTTAAATAACCTATGTGAAGTGTGTGTGTGTGTGTGTGTGTGTGTGTGTGTGTGTGTGTGTGTGTGTGTGTGAGAGAGCACGAAGCATGAGACGGCATCTTTAATCGACTGACCGCATGAAAACTGAAGCAGATCCTCATATGACACACACATTTCAAGCAGAAAGTGTGTGTGAGTTTCTACAAGGGCTTCAGCTCGCGTCTCTGCATGCTTGGGATTATTTTTGCATGGCTTTTCCAAACATTTTAATGTCAAGGACCCCCATAATGGTGATCCTAAAATATGACAGCAGCTTTGTGGAGAGATAGCAAACCCCCTTCTATTTGATATGTTTTTAAAGTAATCCCATAATCCTCTCACACATGGAGCCTGTGACCGAATCATCCATACAGCAGCGATTTCTCGCCCTTTAGACGCCACACGTGACTCTCAAAACCTTCCCAGCATGGCTCAGTTCAGGAAGGGCTTTTCAAACTGCGCTCCGGTCTGGGAGTGTCGAAAAAGCTTTACGGTTTCATTCTGCTCTCTGATTAGGATATTAATTATGATTATTAAAAAGGCAGACATTGTATAATAATATACCAAATCTGTGAAGTATTAAAAAAATAGTGTTTTTACACAACTTTTCAAGAAGATTGTGTTTGTATATAAATATATACATACCATACATTTATATAAACTAGGGCTGTGCAAAGATTAATTGCGATTAATCGCATCCAAAATAAATGTTTGTGTTTACATAATGTATGTGTGTGTACTGTGTATAATTATTTTGTATATATAAATAGACACACGTGCATGTATATATTTAAGAATATAAAATGTTATATAAAATATAAAATATTTATAAAATAATATAAATAATATAATATAATTTAAATATAATATTATTTTATAATGTGTATATATATATATATATATATATATATATATATATATGTGTATATATTATATAAATTATAAAATATTTAGATTAATAATAATTATACAAAATAATTATACACAGCACACACACATACATTATGTAAACACAAACTTTTATTTTGGATGTGATTAATCGCAATTAATATTTGCACAGCCCTAATATAAACGCACACATTTGAATATAGAATTAAACTAGTTTCTCTAAATTTTTTTTACTGTACTCTACTGGTGCACAGGAAACAGATTTAGTCGGTTTACTACAACTTTCAACAACAGTTTTGGGGTCGGTAAGATTTTTTTTTTATTAGAAATGAACACTTTTATTCAGCAAGGAAGCATTAAAGTGATTAAAGTGACGGTAATGACATCTATAATGTTACAAAAGATTTTATTTCAAACAAATGCTGCTCTTCGTCAAAGAATCCTGAGAAATAAAATGTTTCAGTTTCTTCAAAAATCTGAAAGTGTTTTCAACACTGATCATAAATGTTTCTTACTCAGAAATGTTATTAATTATATGTTTGAGACATGTGCACACAAATATAAAAATCATACTGTTTATTAATATTTTGCATTAATTTTTTGTATTTTTCTTCATTTAATTTTTTACTTTTTATTTAAATTTTATTTTTTTGTGATGTCTATAGTTTTTACTAATTTTATTTTAGTTTTAGTTATTTAAAGTGGGACCATTTTTGTACATCAAGTTAAATGAAAATGAGAAATGTTGCTTTGCTAGCTGAAATAAAGTTTTTTTAAAGTTTTTTTTTTTCAAGAATTTTTTTTTCCACTTTTAATTAGATTCATTTTACTATATCAACCTAAACCAAACAAAAATGAGAAGTGTTGTTATGGCAACTAGCTGAAATAAAATACGTTTTTTAAAAGGTTAACTCTAATAACCTCGCTTGATCTGCATATGCGCATAAATTCCCACAACCAATCGGCTGTGTGAGTGCGATGGGAACCGGAAAATGCATAGAGAAACAGCGCATACGTAACAGAGCGGTTCATTAATCAGGAAAACAACACACTAGGAACGACAGCTGCTGCAAAGCTGGCTGTGTGTGTGTGTGGAGTGGATGATGTCACAGCACAGCAGTGAGAGGCTGCAGAGCTCTCTCTTTCTCTCACACACACACGCGCACACACAGATTCTCGTGCTGATGGCATTGCTGTGGCGTATCGGGGGCCGGCGGGCGGCCCGTAGCGTGTGTTGTCAGACATGAGTCCGGGTTTCGTGCTGCTGTTCGTCTTTGGCTTCGTGGGGGGGGCGGTGGTCATCAACTCCGCTGTTCTCGCGTCGCTCTCTGTTCTCCTGCTCGTGCATTACTCCGTGTCCAACCGCCTGCCCGCCATCACACACTCCCTGCCCCGGATCAGCAGGTACGCACGCACACACACACCGATGTTTCTTCTGTTTCACAGGCTGTGTCGGATCACACGAGTTAAATGTCTTAGAAATATGATCTTACGCATGCGATTAGGAAACTTTTGGTATTTTGGCATAAAGACCCAATTTATACTGTAAAAACAAAAGTGATTAGGAAAATTCGGGATGCACGATATATCGGCATCCATATCGGTATCAGTCGATATGTAATTTTTTTTAAGTTATTGTTATCGGCCCGATAAGAAAATTAGACTGATGTGTGAAATAATGGTGATAAATAATGTATTATTTCCTTCGGCTGAGACACTTCAAATGCACACTGTTTGACATGATGGTTTTACACGGATTGAAATATAGACTTTGAAAAGGACAATAGGAAAATAGAGTTCAGTCTGTCATATCGGCTACATAAAATTATAATGAAAATGTTACAATTGTGTGATTGAGACGTGGCTTTTAATAGTGAATCTTTTGTTTTTGTAATCACGCTTTCGGTTATCGGCTTTCAAATATAAAGAGTTATCGGTATTGGCTAAAATATTCATATCGGTGCATCCCTAGCTTGGGGCATAAACTTAATGGACACTTTTGTAATCAGGCTCCCAAAAAAATTAAGTTTATCGGCCGATATATCGGTTATCGGCTTTCAAATATAAAGAATTATTGGTTATCGGTATCGGCCAAAATGTTCATATCGGTGCATCCCTAGCTTGGGACATAGATTTAACGGACGCTTTTGTAATTAGGCTCTCAAAAATTAAAATTTATCGGCTGACATATCGGTTATCGGCTTTCAAATATAAAGAATTATCGGTTATTGGTATCAGCCAAAATGTTCATATCGGTGCATCCCTAGCTTGGGACACAGATTTAATGGACGCTTTTGTAATCAGGCTCCCCAAAAAATTAAGTTTATCGGCCGATACATCGGTTATCGGCTTTCAAATATAAAGAATTATCGGTTATCGGTATCAGCCAAAATGTTCATATCGGTGCATCCCTAGCTTGGGACATAGATTTAATGGACACTTTTTGTAATTAGATAAATTGTAAAATTTATCGGCTGACATATCGGTTATCGGCTTTCAAATATAAAGAGTTATCGGTATCGGCTAAAATATTGATATCGGTGCATCCCTAGCTTGGGACACAGATTTAATGGACGCTTTTGTAATCAGGCTCCCAAAAAAATTAAGTTTATCGGCCGATATATCGGTTATCGGCTTTCAAATATAAAGAATTATCGGTTATCGGTATCAGCCAAAATGTTCATATCGGTGCATCCCTAGCTTGGGACATAGATTTAATGGACACTTTTTGTAATTAGATAAATTGTAAAATTCATCGGCCGACATATCAGTTATCGGCTTTCAAATATAAAGAGTTATCGGTATCGGCTAAAATATTGATATCGGTGCATCCCTAGCTTGGGACACAGATTTAATGGACGCTTTTGTAATTAGGCTTTCAAAAACGTAAATTTATCGGCCGATATATCGGTTATCGGCTTTCAAATATAAAGAATTATCGGTTATCAGTATCGGCCACCAGTGCATCCCTAATGAAAATATTTACTCTCTATCATGCAACATTGCATTTTTTTTGTTTCTACTCACCATACCATTTATTATTTATTTATTTTAATCAAATCTATTAATGTGTGTTTTGTTTTCCTCTAAACCTTTCCACGGACCGCATTTTGAAACCCTCTTGTTATTCTCTTCATCTTAAGCCTCTTTTCCCCTTTGTTTCTGTCTTTTCCTCCGTTACTCTAGATACTGTTGTTCATCGTGTGTGTGTTAGCTCTTCGAGAACGGCTAGCATGAGCGGTGTTGTGCTGCGCTAAGACCCGGCAGATCTGAGAGTTCATTTCTCTTGTCAACATTTGCACTGGATCCTTTCTCATTCTAACAGGCGTATTGTTCATCAGGCTTCTGTTCATTCTTGCTCTAGAGCTGATATTGTTAGATGCTTCGACGAGCTTTCTGTTCATTTACTGCAAGATGTTAAACTGGTTTCAGGGTTTTAGCATCACGTGTTCAGGTGGTTATTATAACAGTAAAGTTAAGAAACAGATCTGTTCACCCAAAGCTGATATTTTCACACATATCATGTATCATGTACAGAGACGAAGGGTGAATTTTAAGCCTATCAAATCCAAATCCAAGAATTAATATTTGCATAATAGTAGAACTACTCAGTAAGAGATTAATACTTTTATTGAGCAAGAATACATTAAATTAATACAAAATTACAGTTTGTAATGTTACAAAAGATCATATATTTTAAATTAATTCTGTTCTTTTGCATGAATCCTTTCAAAAACATTTTAAAACGTCTTACCGACCCCAAACTTTTGAACTGTGTTGTGGATTTGGGGGTCAAAAATTTGCTTAATTGTCATAAATTTTCCAAAAATAAGCTTAATTTTTATCTCTACACAACATGTTTGTTTTACTCTTATTAGTGGTAATTCTGGAAAAGTTGACAGTAGACTTCTTATCATAAGCCAAGCTAAAAGCTATTATATGCAATGTATAATAAATATAATTTGAGTAAAATGGATAAATGTCATTTGATACTCATCACATGCCTATGCCACTGTTGTACAGGTGAAACTCGAAAAATGATAAAATCGTGCAAAAGTTCATTTATTTCAGTAATTCAACTTAAAAGGTGAATATTATATAGACTCATTACATGCAAAGTGAGATATTTCAAGCCTTTATTTGTTATAATTGTGATGATTATGGCTTACAGCTTATGAAAACCTTTTCACAATATTTTTAATTTGGGGTTTTCACAAGCTGTAATCCATAATCATTAAAATTATAACAAGCAAAGGCTTCAAATATCTCACTTTGAGTCTATATAATATATTAGTTTCGCCTTTTTAAGTTTATATTTACAATATTCAACTTTTTCGAGTTCCACCTGTATATTATCATAACCAGTGAATGAATATTATCAGAACCAATGATATTTATAGATTAAATCTGATTTAATTGCTTTTAAACTTCTAACTGATCCTTACTCAAGATGGTTCATCTCAAGGCCAAGAAATGAAATACTCGCTTTTTATGTGTCTGACTTCTGAACATCTAAAACTGAATATTTTTCATCTAGTTCTTTGAACTAGACTTGGCTTGTTCTTGCAATCCAAACATTATATTTGTTGCTTCTATTGGTCTAATTTTCATGCTTTTATTAATGAATTGGAACAGAAACGTATAGAGCTTTTCATGAATTAAACTTTGGATCCGAAGTTTCTCAACTCTGTTAAATCATGACCTTTACTGTGTGATTGACACCTCGTGTTATGTGACGTGTGTGTGTGATTACAGCATGGGTATTGATGTACACGTCAGATCGAGATCCGACACAGTACATGCAAGCCTCACTGCATTGATTTACTCCCTTTTATTGTTTACTTAAAAATTGTCAAGAAATCAAAGTTGACCCGATTTACTTTGTTAGAGCACATTAGTGTTATGGTAAACAAGTTAGGTCTCTCACAAAAAAAGTATATATTTGTCTTTAATCACAATAACTGGACTTCATGGAGACATGAATATGTATTGAAAGTGGGTCATATACTGTATGTTGTAGAATAGTATCATAAATGTCTAATTTGGGTCCTTCTTGGCCGAAAATAAAAGGCTGAAAATGACTTTTTGGTCCTTGTGGATTGTAGACAACAATCCCCATAGTGCATTGCAATGCTCAACTCCGCAGGCCACTCCCACTGCTCCGCCCATACCTCAAGGGCATCCAAGATGTAGTGTCTTTGTTTCCGCAGTAGTTTCAATTTTGATATTTTTAGGTCCGTCAGTCATATAATGGAGGTCTATGGTCATCACCTCAAAGAGCATGCACAGAGAAGTCCAAATTAAACATGATTTAATGACTCGTGAATGTAAGTACACATTGATGGCCTAAGATACAAAACGAGCGGTTTGTGTGAGAAAACGAACAGTGTTTATATCGTTTTTACCGCAGTCACGTCCAAGTGATCCATCAACGTGTACTTGCATTCACGAGTCATTAAATCATGTTTAATTTGGACTTCTCTGTGCATGCTCTTTGAGGTGGTGACCATAGACCTCCATTATATGACTGACAGACACGAACGGTTTGACCTAAAAATATCAAAATTGAAACTACTGTGAAAACAAAGACACTACATCTTGGATGCCCTTGAGGTAAGATAAAACATACGAAAAATTTATTTCAAAGTGAACTATCCCTTTAAATTCTCAACTTTGGAGGGAAACCCGCTGCTTTGCACTATCTCTTCCTCAAATTTGGTTCTTGTTTCCGAACCGTGCTTTATCTTTTCTTTACTGTACAGTTGGAGCTGAATAGAGTGAACCCTGCTCACGTGAGCGGATCCCTACAGAATGTGCCGTCAGCAGGTTCAGTCTGAATGCAGATCTATGACCACACCAGAGAGACAAAAGAAGTGTGTGGGGTTAGCCGTGGCATCGTGTCACTTGTGCAAAAACTTTGTATGGCAGCCAATAACATTCCATAGACATGCATTGAGACATGTAAGAATCAGAAGATCTTAAAGACAATTAATATTCAGGAATATTACTGATTACTAACTGCTCTGACACTATTGTCTTCTGTAGGGCTGCTTATAGCTGAGTTGAATTAGTTTCATAATTGATAAATGCAACATTGACACTGTTATTGAATCCACATTTAAAGGTAAAGTATGGAAAAATAGACATATTTTCAAACAAGCTTGTAAACGCTCCTTATGTAACTCGTATGTCACAAACATGGCTCTTTTCTCTGCTCTGCTTGTGAAGGCATGTCTCAACAGGTAAAAGTTGGCTACTTTCAATAAAAGGTCCAACATATGGTATATAATATATTTAATGTAATCTAATGAGTAAGCAATAGAGAATAAACACTCCGTCTGGAGCGAACATGTGCATCTCGCTTATAATAAACCCATCTAAAGTATCTGAACGGCGCACTTTTTTACGGAGGCGTATTGCATTCACTTGAATAAAAAAATTCAGTTTTTACGAGTTAATTTTTCACGAGAAAAAAATTTTTCTCTGTTTTTCTGAATTAATGAGTTAATTTTTCATGAGGAAAAAAATTTTCTCAGTTTTTCTGAATTAATGAGTTAATTTTTCATGAGAAAAAAAATTTTTCTCTGTTTTTCTGAATTAACGAGTTAATTTTTCATGAGAAAATTTTTTTCTCTGTTTTTCTGAATTAATGAGTTAATTTTTCATGAGAAAAAACAATTTTCTCAGTTTTTCTGAATTAATGACTTAATTTTTCATGAGAAAATTTTTTTTCTCTGTTTTTCTGAATTAATGAGTTAATTTTTCATGAGAAAAAAAAATTCTCTGTTTTATGAATTAACGAGTTAATTTTTCATGAGAAAAATTTTTTTGCTCTGTTTTTCTGAATTAATGAGTTAATTTTGCATGAGAAAAATTTTCTCTGTTTTTCTGAATTAATGAGTTAATTTTTCATGAGAAAAACATTTTTTTGCTCTGTTTTTCTGAATTAACGAGTTAATTTTTCATATGAGAAAATTTTTTGCTGTGTTTTTCTGAATTAATGAGTTAATTTTTCATGAGAAAAAAAGTTTTTGCTGTGTTTTTCTGAATTAACGAGTTAATTTTAAAATTCCATGAAAAATTAACTCGTTAATTCAGAAAAAACAGCAAAAACTTTTTTTCTCATGAAAAATTAACTCATTCATTCAGTAAAACAGAGAAAATGTTTTTTTTTCTCATGAAAAATTTACTCGTTAATCCAGAAAAACAGAGTAGATTTTTTTTCTTCAAGTGAATGCAATACGCCTCCGTACTTTTTGACATAACGTGCCACAACTGTTTAAAACGTTTAATGTTGTTTTTGTGTCTATCTGGTGTTTTTAATATGCTTTAAGACAAAAAAAGCATATTAAAAAAAAAATAGAGGATCTCTGAGCTGAGGGAGTGAGTGGAGGCGGGGCTCATTTGCATATTCATAGAACCACGCATACTAGATGAGGCAAGGGTGTCGAGTTACAGTCAAGCTATTTTAAGGCATGAAGAAATTTTATTCCAAGGTGAAAAACTTTTAAATATGTCAATTTGGTGATTCAAAGATGAGTTTTAAGGGATAAAATGCTGGACACACATCACAGTAAAATCTTTCTGAACAGGTGCATGATGATGCTGTATAATATTGACGCATCCATTGTAATGTATAGCATTACTTTGATGTATTCCTGACCTGTGTAAGTTTGCACATCTGTAACCAAAGCTGAATGTATTTTCCCAGGTAACGCATCAGTCATGGCTAAACTCCGCCCACTTTCACACTTTTGGTGGAGATAAACCTGTGAATGGCATATTAATAGTAGTAACTGGACAAAAACACTGAATGCATTTTAACATAAAAAAAAACTTCACCTTCTGAACAATGACAGCTTAAATTAGATTGTTAATGTTGTAAAAATTAATCAATTATGAACCTCTTTAATAATGTGCAGCTGCTTTGAAAAGATCTGTAATTAATAAAGCGCTGTAGAAATAAATGTGACTTGATTTAACTAGCGCCCAGTTACCACTCCAAACCCTAGTAACGTATACTTCAAACACTTTATGAAATACCATGAAAGTTGTGATGCCAATTTTACCGTAGTGGCAGTAAGTTTTCACCATAAACCACCACTCGCCTTTCTCATAGCTTAAACCAGTGTAATTCAGAAACTTGTTTCCCAATACTTGATAAGAAATTGGTGTGACGAATGTGAATGCATGACTTATGTAATATATTATGTTTCTCACTCAAGTTTCCAACCGTGTGTTCTCAGGAAGGAGCGACCGGTCTCTCTGGGGGTTTTCTCGTTGCCGGGGAGCGATGCGATGAGCCCGGATCTGCATAGGGAATCTGTGGAGACTCCAGGGACAGACACTTGGAGATATAACAATCCCAGCCACCCTCGCTCCAACACCAGCCTCAAGGTGAGAAACGCACTGATTTACCTGTTTACTTGTATTACACCACCAGTGAGGGAGAAATTTAGTACGGCTTCCAGTGATGTGTAGTCGGCAATCTGCCCCAAAAATACCCATCAAATCACCCTTAACTCTACCGGATATACACTACCGGTCAAAAGTTTTAGAAAGTTCTCCTCTGTTCACCAAGAGGGCAATTATTTGATAAAAAATACAAAAAAAAAATCCCGTTAATATTGTGAAATATTATTTCAATTCAAAACAGCGGTTTTCTATGTGAATACAGTATATAGTGAAGTCATTTATGATTATTATCCATTTTATTTCAGGATTTTTTGATGAATAGAAAGTTCAAAAGAACAGAATTGATCTGAAATGGAAAGCTTTTGTAACATTAATCACTAACTTACCGTTCAAAAGTTTGGGGTCAGTAAGAATTTATTTTTTATTTTTGGGGGAAAGAAATTAGAAAATACTTTTATTCATCAAGGATGAGTTAAATTGATCAAAAGTTACAGTAAAGACTATGTTAGAAAATGTTAGAAAAGATTATATTTTCAATAAATGCTGTTCTTTTGAACTTTCTATTCATAATAGAATTTTGGGGGAAAAAAATGTTTTTCAACATTGAAATGTTTTTTGAGCATATTAGAATGATTTCTGAAGGATCATGTGACACTGAAAACTGATGTGTAATCAGCAACAGTAATGATGTTGAAAATCCAGCTTTCAAATTACATTTTAAAATAGAAAACATTCATTTTAAATTGTCATAATATTTCACAATACTACTGTTTGTCATTTTTTTTTTGCCTTGGTGAGCAGAAGAGACTTCATTTAAAAACATAAAAAATCTGACTGATCTAAAACTTTTGACCGGTAGTGTATATCAAAATGAATCAATAGTTAATCTAGATCAGAATCGAATCAAGAGCTTGTGAATCGAAATTGAATCATGAAGTGTGTGTCAATACCCACTTACAACATGACTAATCTTTAGTAGGGCTGGGTGTCATCATCACAGCAGAGGCTGTTATCAGCTTCCCAGAAACTGAACATGGGTTTTTAGGGAATAAAGGCGATGACGACACAGTCCGTTAGTATAGAGAGAGAGAGAGAGAGAGAGAGAGAGAGAGCTTCCCCCTCTGAAAGGAACGTATGTTAAAGAAGCCTGAGTGAACACTGCCAGCTCTCCCTGAGTGTCTGCTGTGCCCTGCATACTTAAGCAGAGCCCTAACAAGGGCCCGAATGCTGTCCTACAGAGGTCCACGACTCGAGGCCCCTTCATACATATTCATGTCGGTGAAGTAATCATTTCCTGGCATCTCAACCCTCTAAACTAACGACGAACAAACCACTATTTTGTTTTTACACAAAGATCATTGGAGTGTTGGTTACAAGAAAGTTCTATTTTAGTCTTTCTGCTTCAAAATTTCACATTTAATTCGATGTGTTACTTTCCATTTTAGTGCATTTTTACATGTTATGAGTGTTTTTCTGTTATTTTGAATTATTCTGTCAGTGTGAAACGCCTCCGTTGTAGTCTTGAGTTTCTTCTGGGAATGAACACGTCACAATATTCCTTATTGAAATAATTCATGCGCAGAATAAAGGGGCGGGGCCTGGTTGAGTTAGTTAGTAGTGTGTTAAACTGGCGGTTATGGTAATTAGGGGCGGGACATTTCCCAAACACACTCCACACTCGACCAGTCACAACACACTGCTCCAGCCGACCAATCAGAGCGCAGTGTGCTTTTCAGAAGGAGGGGCTTCATAGAGACAGGAAGTGAACAGAGCGTTACTGACAGACTGGGACGAGAGGAGCCGCAACAATGGAGAATTTGAGGAAAATAATCAAAATTCTAGTAGAGCCTGAAACAACAGTAAGACTTTGTAAAAGGGTGTAATTGATCCTACTTATTTGTGAAATTTACTATATTGTAGGGTTGTCACTCAAATTACCCAAATATTTCGAGGAACAAATGTAATTTTGGGAAAACCCATTTTGATCGACCACTAGACTTGCCAGATCTATATCCACTCCTCTCCCGTTATTCACATTGATTTCGTTAGGAATGATGGCATTGTGGGTCTCTAGAATATTCTGACCTTGAAGCCCGTCTCAATCTAGGCCTGATGCAGGAGTTTTTGAAGGATGCTGGTCATATTTCATGTGCGGAGACACAACAGAGCCAAAGACTAGATATACCAAGACTCATATTACTAGTAAATGGGAGAAAGTGCAACATGAGCTACACCCAGACAGGAACAGCCCACCGTTTGGAAGCTTATCTCTTTATTCTGAGTTTTATAAATAATATTATCTATTCTGCGTCATCCGAGTTTCTGAACAACAAATAGTTGCTTTCAATAGTCCGCTTTAATTTGTGGAGGCTCAACACATTTATTAATCGTGTTTATTTTCATTGCGGAGAGGAGACTTTTGAAAGTCTCAGTAGGTGTTAGGGCTGTCAAATAAAAATAGAAATTCAGAATATTTGTTGAATTAATTAAAAACTGCACATTCGAATGCAAAACGCGTGCATTCAAATATTTGGTGTGTCAAGACAAGAGCATGCTGACATCACTGTTTGTGTTTGTTAGCTTATCCCGTAGGCTATACAGGGCTGTGTTGTTCACTTGAACAATGATGAAGAAAACCCTCTCAGTTAGTGCCAAAAATCATGCAACGACATACTAGGCTAAACCTGCACATTGTGTGTGTGTGTGTGTTTCATCAGGTGGACAAACAATATGTTGGTGGAGTGTTTCTGAATGTCTATTGTGTGTTCATGTAGTTTGTTTTCCGATGCACAAACACAGTTTTATGCACTATTGTAACCTCATTTTCCTTGCATGCACATTAAGGAAATTATATTTTATTTCAGAACAATGGTTTCAAAATTGAATGCATTTTTAAAAAGTGAATTTCATTTCAATAAAAGATGCGATGTATCATTTGGTTTATTATTGCTGATTGCACTCACTTGCGCCCTCGTGTGGGAATAGGAGACAACACAGGACATTTTCCACCTGTAACATTAAAGGAGTAGTTCACTTTAAAAAAAAAACAAAAAAAACTTTTGCTGATAATTTACTCACCCCCATGTCTTTCTTTCTTCAGTCGAAAAGAAATGAAGGTTTTTGATGAAAACATTCCAGGATTTTCTCCATATAATGAACTTCAATGGGGACCAAAAGACAGTTTCAGTGCAAACTACAAACTGTTCAAAGGGCTTTAAACGATTCCAGATGATGAATAAGGGTCTTATCTAGGACCCTTTGAGTCATGACTGGAACAGGAGAGTCACGAACGCGCGTCACAGAACAGAGTAAGGCGAGCATTTGAGCTTATAAAACTTAAACTTTGTTATTTATTTATTAAATGAGCGATCGTTTCGCTTGATAAGACCCTTATTCATCGTCTGGTGTCATTTAAAGCCCTTTGAACAGTTTGTAGTTTGCACTGAAACTGTCTTTTGGACCTTGAACCGTTTGGTCCCCATTGAAGTCCATTATATGGAGAAAATCCTGGAATGTTTTCATCAAAAACCTTAATTTCTTTTCGACTGAAGAAAGAAAGACATGGACATCTTGGATGACATGGGGGCGAGTAAATCATCAGCAACATTTTTTTTTAAGTAAACTGCTTCTTTAAGGAGTGATGTTAGAATTCAAATAAATAAATAAAGAATTTAGTAGGAATCTAGTAGGTATTCATCAGGCTCTTGTCAGTATAAGGCCAGTGAGTTTCAGAAGCACAAAGGCTCCATCACACTCCTACTGTGGAGGGATACACACTGGCCTTTGTGCGCTTCATGACTCTGCATTTCTCTCTATATCATCCTCCAGAGTCTCGGGCTTCTGGGAGAGATGAGAAACTAGGCCATGATGACTTGCTGTCAGGTTAAACGCCTCTGAGGAAAAGTGGGCACATTCTGCCATGGAAACACCAGAGAGTCGGGGAGCATCTGGAAAAGGGTTTTTGTTTTGTGCGCGCTTGTGCTTTTGTTGGCTTGTGCGCATATGTCAGTCGGAAAAAAAGTCTGTGCTTGTGTAAAACCTAATGTCGGTTCCTGCCACTCGCTGTGGATTAGTTGCTCTTCCATAACCGATTGATTTTAATGAGAGCTTTGGTTCTTTTTATAGAGCATCAGATGAAGTGCTGTTTTGAAAGGCGTATTAATAAAACATCTCATTATCAGAAGAGCTTGAGGGCAACGGTGTAGACAAAATAACAAAGCCACACACACTTTCACTCATGCATCTCCTAATATACTGCGTCAATAGAGAAAGACATACTGAGCATGTAATGATAATACACTATTATTAAGGCAAAAAAGGCTCAATGAGAAGTTGAACACACCTATACATATAATTCACAGCAGTTTCCAGCTGAAATGAACACTAGAGGCAGTAAAACACTAATAGCTTTGATTCCTTCACACAGATTATGATTATTGACACTTCTTTAACATTATTGAGCAGGTTTAGTGTCTGTCCTGCATTATTTTCAAACACGATAGAGCATTAACCTTTTAACCTGATGCATTTAATTTCCGAACTGTCACGATGTGCACAACAACCAATGCAATAAAAAGTTTCCAGATTTCGAATCAAACTATATTCAGAAATGCGTCACATTATGTGAATTATTAATGCCGTAAATCGACTTTGCGTACGACCGTCTGCCAGAAGCTAGTTATTTCAGAAGATAAAGTTTTAAATATGGATATTTTTCTTACACCAACGCATGGCTTCACTTCAGAAGGCCTTTAATAACCCCTGGAGCAGTTTGGGACACTTTTATGATGGACAGATGCACTTTTATGATGATAGATGCACTTTTATGATGGATAGATGCACTTTTATGATGGATAGATGCACTTTTATGATGGATAGATGCACTTTTATGATGGACAGATGCACTTTTATGATGATAGATGCACTTTTATGATGGACAGATGCACTTTTATGATGGACAGATGCACTTTTATGATGGACAGATGCACTTTTATGATGGACAGATGCACTTTTAGGATGGACAGATGCACTTTTATGATGGACAGATGCACTTTTATGATGGACAGATGCACTTTTATGATGGATAGATTCACTTTTAGGATGGACAGATGCACTTTTATGATGGATAGATGCACTTTTATGATGGATAGATGCACTTTTATGATGGACAGATGCACTTTTATGATGGATAGATTCACTTTTATGATGGATAGATGCACTTTTATCATGGATAGATTCACTTTTATGATGGACAGATGCACTTTTATGATGGATAGATGCAATTTTATGATGGATAGATGCACTTTTATGATGGACAGATGCACTTTTATGATGGATAGATTCACTTTTATGATGGACAGATGCACTTTTATGATGGATAGATGCACTTTTATGATGGACAGATGCACTTTTATGATGGACAGATGCACTTTTATGATGGATAGATTCACTTTTATGATGGACAGATGCACTTTTATGATGGACAGATGCACTTTTATGATGGATAGATTCACTTTTATGATGGATAGATGCACTTTTATGATGGATAGATGCACTTTTATGATGGAAAGATGCACTTTTATGATGGATAGATGCACTTTTATGATGGACAGATGCACTTTTATGATGGATAGATGCACTTTTATGATGGATAGTTGCACTTTTATGATGGATAGATGCACTTTTATGATGGATAGATGCACTTTTATCATGGATAGATTCACTTTTAGGATGGACAGATGCACTTTTATGATGGATAGATGCACTTTTATGATGGATAGATGCATTTGTATGGAATTAAAAAAATTAAATTAAATAAAAAGGTGTCATTCACTGCCATAATAAAGCTTGGAAGAGCCAGGATATTTTTAATATAGCTGATTGTATTCGTCTGAAGAGTGTCATATAAACCTAGGATGGCTTGAGGGTGAGTAAATCATGGGCTAATTTTAATTTTTGGGTGAACTACCCCTTTAAGTTCATGAAAATAATTTCTGAACATTATTTTATATAAAATTATGTATTTCAATGAAAAATCTAGAACTCTAAAACTGCTAGAATTGAGCCAAAAATGTATGCAGTTGGCATTAACACAGACAAAATGACCAAAGAAACTAAACTGAAAAAGACAAAAATATCCATAAGGATGCAGTTCAATCTGGCTTTTGCACCATAAAAACACAAAGTACAAATTCCCTTAATAAACTCTCTGTCATGCATTGATTGACCGTGAGACACAGATTATGTGTAATCCTGGCCTACATTTCATTTTACCGTAGTTAAAGCTTAATCTGGATTTGACAAGCTGCTTTCTTGGGGAAGAACTGTCCTGTTTTTCTCTTTATATATAATGGCAATGCAGTTCCCATCAGCCCCCTGGCAGAATAAAGAGCCACCATTCATGTGTTTTACTGTGCGCTTCTCTCTGGGCAGTTGGAGGCGGACGGTAAGAGTTCACAGGACAGTTTGGAAACCCATTGGACCGACTCCAGTAAGGTAGCGTCCGATAATCCTGCTGTAATCTTCATGGCAGCCGCAGCGTAGTGTGCAGTGTGTAGTGTGCAGTGTTTCTTTGCATTCATAGCCTATAGTCCACAAACTGCTGCCTGCAACCATCTATTAGGATGTAACATAAACCATATAAACAGAACATATATGAGGATGTAACACTGATACAGACTCGCATGATTATGTCAGTCTCCCTGGTAAAGGTTCAGGTTGGGTTGCATTCAGCATCTGTGTGGTTGATGTTATCGCTTGCAATGTAGCCAAAGGAATATTCCTGGTTAATTTCAACGTCTAACTTCTAAAAATTAAAAGGAAATATATATGGTGCTTTTGTTTCATTAGTGAAGCTTTTTAAAATCTCTATTCTTTGTATTGAAAAAAAAATTAACAGTGAATTCTAGTAAACGATAACCTGGAATATTTCTTTAATTTTGTATGTTAATTATTAAATCATGTGGTTTTTTTTGTGTGTGTGTGTGTGTGTGTGTGTGTATGTCTGTTTTTCTCAATCACTGAACTTTCAGTCATTATTTATGTGGTTAAAAGCTCTGGAGACTAAAAATGTTTTGTTTGCATTATATAATATAATAATCTTTTTTAAATGGATCTGCATGCAGCATGTCTGTCCTCGTACGGTATCATGGTGTGCTGATGATGGCATTCTAGACTTGAATCATTGTGTTCATCTTCATGATTAATGAGGACAGCCCCATTTAACACAAATGTGCAGTTGATGACTATTTATTTATAAATGCTTACTATGACTCAGTGTAAATCGATGCTGCTGGTAATGCTTCACACCACCAGGGTTTGTTTTCAGGAAAACTCCTCCCGCAGATATCAGACCTGTTATTATTCGGTATATATTGGATATATGGCGAGAGAAGTGGAACACGTGCAAGAATAATAAGTGAATGAAATTCATCCGGACATGTCAAACAGACTTTTAATCACTAAAGGATTAGTTCACTTTAAAAAAAACTTGCTGATTTTGCCTTCTGTCGAAAAGAAATTAAGGTTTTTGATGAAATCATTCCAGGATTTTTCTCCATATAATGGACTTTAATGGGGTCCAAACGATTCAAGGTCCAAAAGACAGTTTCAGTGCAAACTACAAACTGTTCAAAGGGCTTTAAACGATTCCAGACGATGAATAAGGGTCTTATCAAGCGAAACGATCGCTCATTTAAAAAATAAATAACAAAGGTTAAGTTTTATAAGCTCAAATGCTCGCCTTGCTCTTATAGGTCTTGCTCTATAAGCATTTGAGCATATAAAACTTAACCTTTGTTATTTATTTTTTAAAAGAGCGATCGTTTCGCTTGATAAGACCCTTATTCGTCGTCTGGTGTCGTTTAAAGCCCTTTGAACAGTTTGTAGTTTGCACTGAAACTGTCTTTTGGACCTTGAACCGTTTGGACCCCATTGAAGTCCATGATATGGAGAAAATCCTGGAATGTTTTCATCAAAAACCTTAATTTCTTTTCGACCGAAGAAAGAAAGACATGGACATCTTGGATGACATGGGGGCGAGTAAATTATCAGCTAAAGCTTTTTTTAAAGTGAACTGATCTTATCAGGTGGGGTTCACCAGATGTTGTATAGGTCATACAAATTTGACTCAGGCTTTTTTGCTTAAAAAGAGAACCAACTTAATGCATGTTTTGTAAGATTTCCCTCTCTGTTAAACATATTTTATTGGACTGTCCTGGGTATAATACAAATGAAATGCTCTTTTAGGACTTAAGCAAGATTATGCCTGAAAAGGTTTTGGATTTTGTTAAAACAAGATAGGTGTTTGCTTGCTTGCTTGGTTGGTTTTATTGTATTTATATGATATTTCTATTTTTGTAATTTAATTTTTTGCCATTAAAATTGCTGACATGGCATTAAATAAAACAATCAATCTATCTACTGTGATCAGGATGAACTCTCAGGCGCCGGTCAGGGACGATCCAAACCCGAGTGTGACGAGCTCATGGTGTCTGTGGAGGAGGAGGCCGAGGGTCCGCACGGGAACATGGACTCGAGGAACGCCACACCAGACAGACTGAAGAACATCAGCGTACAGGAGACGAAGGCATCAGAGACGCCATCCACAGGTGAATGCAGAGCTCAATCCGCCCACTTATACTACGCCCTGAAAGTATGCACTATTAAAATCTGCACTACTAAAAAGTAGATGCTTCAGTGTGTAGCAGAAGTCAAGCCACCTTCATTTATACAGCGCTTTTAACAATATGGATTGTTTCAAAGCAGCGCGTTTCCATTACAGATTTGCACAAAACTTATGCAAATTTTTTTTACGATAAAAACTATTGCGAAATAAACGATGTTATGTCGGTAATTGTTTCATAAAAAATGTCTTCATGTAATTCGACACCCTTCCCTCATTTAGTATGCGCGGTTCTATGAATATGCAAATGAGCCCCGCCTCCACTCACTCACTCAGAGATCCATTGGTTGTCGATCACACGTTGATCTGATCGCCAGAAACACCAGCGATTTCAAAGCGTGTTTTTGAGACTGTCTGTCCAGGTTTTACCATTAATACTCCCATAAATTGAAGGCCACGCCCCTTTTATAAACAAACTGCGTTTGATGAATCTGCACCCAAAACTTAGTCTCATATGCATGATTATTTTAAGACGTTTTAATAAACCCCTAACTGATGTTTTTGCCCTCAGGAGCCGATCACAGTGATAACCCAGAGCGGTCGGAGGTCCAGGCGATCATCGAGTCCACCCCAGAACTGGACATGGACCTGAGCGGATGCAAAGGCTCCAGGTGCGTCACCGCTGATTCAATCATCCACTCACTGGACTTGCCTTATCACTGCAAACACACTGCATACGCCTGCACCTTGGAACCCACTCTCCTCGAGAGCCAATCACTGCTGTCGCGTGAATGAGCCAAGGTTTCCGTGTCCGATCATGTTCTCCGTCTCTCTCCAGCACTCCCAGTAAAGGCATCGAGAACATGGCGTTTGACCGCAACACCGACTCGCTCTTCGAGGAGCTCTCGTCTGCAGGAAATGACCTCATAGGAGACGTGGATGAAGGCGCTGATCTGCTGGGTGAGTTTGCAGTCACAATAATAATTCACAAATGAAAACCAGTGTTATTTTAGTTGTGGTTTTATTAAAGGGATACTCCACTTTTTTTGGGAAATAGGCTCATTTTACAACTCCCTCAGAGTTAAACAGTTGAGTTTTACCGTTTTCGAATCCATTCAGACGATATTTATAAGAATATCAGTAATCAGACAGTTTCTGGTCTCATTGACTTCCATAGTACTGTATATTTTTTTCCTACTATAGAAGTCAATGAGACCAGAAACTGACTAGTTACTGATATTACCGTTTAACTCTGGGGGAGTTGTAAAATGAGCCTATTTCCCCCCCCCCCCCCCCCCTTTTTTTAATAAAAATAATTTATTTAAAATAATATAATAAAAAGTGTATTATACATTTTATTATATTATAGTTGAAGTATTTTTTTATCCTTTTTTTATTTTACTGATTTCTTATCTCCGTTTTTATTATTTTTTTATTTTCAGTATAACAAAAGTGAAGGCTGATTTTCATTTCGATTTGTGAATTAATTGCTCTTTTGAACCGGATCTTATAAATAAATTACTTCTTACAATTCACAGACCCGGCCTGAAAGGTTAAATCAATCATGATCAGTGAATAATGATTTAGCTCAGTTATCGTATGACTAATATTACGGTGCTTTTGTTTTTAAAAGTGCATGATTCAAAGCTTCTTCTTTTGAGTTTCATGATTCATGAATGTGTGTGAGACTGTCGTTCCTGTGTCTCTTTCCTTCGTGTCATCTTATTTTCCTCTACACTGTAAAAAAATATTTTCAAGATTTGTTATCACAACAATTTTTCTTTTGTCAAATCAACTCAGATAACTTATTATTTTGAGTTTCTGATGATTAAATCAATCTCCTTCATTGAATTAACTCACTTTTTCCATTTCAATCAACTTAAAATTTTTGAGGCAACCAGGTTACAAGTTAAACCAACAATATTTTTTTACAGTGTAGTAGTAAAGACATCAGTGACTGACTTTTATTCATCTTCTGATTTAAACCCATGATTCTTCACTAACATTCACAGCCCATCTAATCATGTGGTCTTTCCTCCATGTTTGTGGCGCTTCATTTCTTTCCCCCAGACGAGTATTCTGGTGTGTATGTTTACACTGCTCTTATTCTCGTACACCATATCCTCACCAGGGGCAATGCCACAACTTTACGTGTCCGTCCACACATTAGCGAAGATATTGTGATGCATCATATGCTCATAAATTATTCAGAGACTCAAGCTGTACTAAAATATTAAATTTGCTGCAGATATAAATCAGTTAATTCTTTATAACGGTAAAGCAGATACTGACATAAAATGCATATAAATATCAATATCTGCCAATAATGTCTTAGTAAGATGATAAATGCTTCGTTTTATGATCAAAGATCTGTAGTTTTAAAACATATAATGCAATGCAATACAATGATGATTTACAGATAAACCTTCTTTAAAAGTCTGATGATCATATTTGAGGAAATCAGATAAACCTGCTTCAGTGCAGTTGAAATATTACTAACAATATAAAAAGTTATGTTTATTTGATAAAAAAACAGCGCAGAACGACACTGAAGGTTTTCACAGTTACACTAACAGGCGTTTACTTGATAAAAAAGTCTAAATTATGGATCAGGACTGCATATAATTGTGTTATCAGCAAAGTTATGATCATTTAGAAATGTGCGACTCAAATATGACACAGCAGACTTCAGATAAAGTCAGATTTACGTGGAATAAAGAGCGTCTGTTGTGTGATGCTTCTGGTTAGGATACAGTGGTGGACCCGTTATTAATTTGTATTTCACTCGAGTTTGTTTTGGTCATTTACTGATCCTTTTTTCTTGTTCTTTTGGTTTGCATGCCAATTTTAGACCTTAATTTCTTTGGTAAGCATGATTTCATATTCTCTGGTCTCTGGTGGGGTTTTTCAGAGATCTGTGCATGATTACCGTAGATGTATATTTGTGTAAAATGAAATCTGTTTTATGTTGTTGTCATGCAGGTATGGGTCGTGAAGTCGAACATCTGATCCATGAGAACACTCAGCTACTGGAGACAAAGTGAGTCATAATGGATTTAGTTTTCTGAAAAACACAAAACAACCTGCGTTTGGTGTGTATTTCCTCTGAATGCAGTGCTTCTACTGCCACCTGCTGGTTTATAGCAGTTACAGCAATCCTTTCAACTGGACTCAAAAGTCAAAATGTTTTTAAACGAGTCAAATTAAGAAGAAATCCTTTAAAAATATCATTTATTACAACAAAAGGGTATGGTACTGCATATTGCAATTTAAAAAGCCAGGAAGTAACCTCACAAATTAGCATTTTTAACATTTGCCCTCACAAGTACTCAATTCTTAGTTCAGTTCAAAGTAATAATGGCAATTATAAGTCGTTAAACCAATTTGCGTTGATAACTCATTAGTTTAAGACTGATTTGTGAGTCTTTGAATGGTTCATAACAGTCCGATATCACTAGATGTTTATTGTCTCTGTCATATAATTGGTAAGAATAGAGCAATGGGAGTGTATAATGTCTTAATGTTTTCTTTCTCTATATTAGTTATTCTCTTATCATTTATACAATTAGATATATTTAAAATGCATATTTTTGAGACTCTGTCAGTGTTTTTGAACTTTGTAGTCTTGAGTTTCTTCCGGGAATGAACGCGTCACAATATTCCTCATTATAATAATTAATGCGCAGAATAAAGGGGCGGGGCCTGGTTGAGTTAGTTTATAGTGTGTTAAACTGGCGGTTATGGTAATTAGGGGCGGGGCATTTCACAAACACACTCAGCACTCGACCAGTCACACGCTGCTCCAGCCGACCAATCAGAGCACAGTGTGCTTTTCAGGAGGAGGGGCTTCATAGAGACAGGAAGTAAACAGAGCGTTCCTGACAGACTGGGACGAGAGGAGCCGCAACAATGGAGAATACGAGGAGAATAATCAACATAAACAACAGATCCTCTTTTATGTCTTTGTTTGCTGCAGGAACGCTCTGAATGTGGTGAAGAACGATCTGATCGCTCGTGTGGATGAGCTGGTGTGCGAGAAAGACGTTCTTCAGGGAGAACTGGAGGTCCTGAAACATGCCAAAGACAAACTGGAGGAGAGGAACAAACAGCTGGAGGACGAGCTCAAGCGGTTCGTCAGGAAACACACCGACACACATCCGCTTTCAGCCGGAGACGAGCTCTTTCTGACTCAAGCTTTTGTGCTTTTGTCCAAACAGAGTCCGAGCTGAGGCCGAGGAAGCCAAAGTGAAGACGAAAGAGGACGATGATGTAAGTCGACGTTAGAAATCTGTCCAGGATCTGTTAAGACGACTCACGGTTCAGTGATCTTCTTTAAGATGTAGAGGAAGTCGAAACCTGATATTTTAAAATTATCCTTTATTTAAAAATTCCCACCACATAAATATATTATCAAATATGAACAGTATAAGTTAATTTACTTTTAACCTCAAAGTATTTTCTCATCAACTAAAACTATTAGAATAGAATTATATATTAGAAGAACTTGGGATACAGCTGCTCTGTAAAACAAAACAATTAATAGTTCACAAGTATATTAACTACTAGAGCTGTTTTCGACTAAGGATTTTCATCGTCGAATCTGATTCGTTGTATTCCCAAAACAGCTCGTCTTTGCTCCTCTACTCGAGCGAAACGCTTTTGGAACAAGAACACATGTGGGCGGGGCTTGATTGTGTCCGTGTGGAGTTGATTGGATGGTTGTGGTGTGCTATTGGCTGATCTCATGAGTGACAGGTTGCCCCGCCCACATCATCAGAGAAGATGTTAACAAGATGGGTAACAGCTGATGAAAACCTTTTCAATTTGGGGTTTTCATATCTATAATCCATAATCATCAAAATTATACCAAATAAAGGCTTGAAATAGCTCACTTTGCATGTAATGAGTCTATATAATATATTAGTTTCACCTTATAAGTTGAATTTCTGGAATAAATGAACTTTTGCACCATATTCTAATTTTTCGAGTGTCTCCGGTATGTCATGTATAATGTCAGTTTTGATTTCATGGCGACTTTAAACTCTGTTTAATTGATTTGTAATTGTAAAACGCTCTCTAACGCGATGGGTTTTTGCCGTGTGTCCCTCAGAGCGACGTGCCGACGGCCCAGCGCAAGCGCTTCACACGAGTGGAGATGGCTCGAGTCCTGATGGAGAGGAACCAGTATAAGGAGCGTCTGATGGAGTTGCAGGAGGCCGTCAGGTGGACCGAGATGATCCGGTCAGTCTCGCTCGTGTCCAATCAACACTAGGCTTGGAATACACAATCAGTTCTGGAATCGGATACTTGTTAACAAATGTACATTTCGATTCCTTTGTACAAATTTCAATATGACTTTAAACAATTAAAGCGCTAGACGATTCATATGGAGTAGCAAACCTATAAAAATTAAAAATGAATAAATAAATAAGCGAAGAAATAAAAAATAAAAAAATAAATAAAAATGAACATTTATACTTTTATTTCCTTATTTATGTATAATTATATATTTTCCCACATTTATTTATTTCCACTTTTATTTATGTATATGCATTTAAGTCTACATTTATTTATTTATATTTATTTATACATATTTATAAATAAATGCATAAATAAATGTGGGAAAATATATAATTGAAGAGTTCAGATGCAAAAGTCTCTAAGGGCCATTTGAAATTTTCTTCTAGAATGATCATTTTTATGAAGCTTGTATATTTACATTCAGCAATTTCACTTAAATGACAATGAAAACTACCTATTATTTGTCATTTAAGTGAAATTACTGAACTTTTCAATTATACATAAATAAGGAAATAAAAGTATAAATGGTCATTTATTTATTTTTTTTCACTTATTTATTCATTTTTTAATCTTTATAGGTTTAGTCCCCCATACACTCATGCACTATTTATGTGCTGCACATACATTCAAAACGCAGTCATGGAAAAAGTGATTTTAATGTGATTTTAAAATCACTTTTTCGGCATATGCAACTCTTAAAGTGACTTTAGCCTAATATTCTTTCTGCCGTCCATATAATAACGCTAATTAAACAATAAAAGACAGAGAAAATTCACTCATTCTTGACCGAATAACTATATTTTTAATGTATATTTACTGCAGTGTTATAGTTTGCACCTGAAAATCTAAAACACGGTGTATTTCAGTCGTATCTTTGTTCAGCTTTATTGCGAGTTTACTTGTCTTTATTAATGCTTTACATTTATATTAGTTTGGTTAGTTGTTTTTCTATGGTATTTTTAGTTGGTTTGTGTTCATGATATTCAGCTACAATGAAATGTTTTGCAATAAGACTAAATGTGAACGATATTCAAGTTGTTGTTTTTTCACCTTATTGGAACCGAAATCATTAAGATGCACAGATCCCTAATCAACACCGTCTCCCCAACTGGTTTGCATGGACTGAAGTGTGTTTTTGTTGTTCGCTTCAGAGCATCGAGAGAGAATCCAGCCTTGTCGGAGAAGAAAAAGTCCAGTATCTGGCAGTTGTAAGCAACAACTTCTTATCCTCCTGAAAGTTTGCTGTTATATTGGTTTTTTGTGTGGTTTGGCGTTCAAACTATCTCATTTTATGTCCCCCTTTTATTTGTTTTCCTTCTAGGATGTAGGTAAATCTTAGTAAACCTAGTAAAACTTGCACTTGGTTTGATCCTTGAATCCAAAAATGTGTTCTGGGAATGGGGTTGTTTTTTAAGCTTTTACAGAAGCGTAACAGGAATTTGCTGTAAACTTCACGAGACTAATGCTTGAGCGTTCATTACACTTACTTTTAAAGGGTTTGGCAGAAAAGCATCTTGTTTTCTTCATTGAAACGCCGTTCTCGGGTCATTTCAGTCTACTCGGGGGTTTGCGTTTGGGGGCATTTAAGGTTTTGCATCTATTTTAAACCCATTCATTCTCCTCTTGTGTGCTCCTGTGTGTTCTCTGTGCTCATGTTGTCCTGTGTGTTCGCAGAAGGTGTGTTGGGGACGGATTAGTCTTAGATATGTTTAGGTTTGGAATTAGAGCTGCACGATTAATCGTTAAAAGGACACAATCTATTCATTCCTCAATGATTATGATTCTGCTCTGTGTATGAAAGGAGTCGTTAAATGTCCTGATAGTTTACTCTCCAAGATGTTCACGTCTTTCTTTCTTCAGTCGAATAGAAATTAAGGTTTTTGAGGAACACACTCCAGGATTGTTCTTCATATAGTGACTTCAATGGGGTCCAATTTGAGGGTTCAAATGCGAGTTTCAGTATCCCGCCGAGGAATAAGAGTCTGATCTAGACAAACCAGCCGACATTTATAACAAAATACACATTTATATAGTTTTAAACCACTAATGCTGGTCTTGCATGAGCTGTGACGCGACACATGCTACGTATCGATAAAAAAAAATCTTAAATTTATCCAGAATCGTGCAGCTCTATTTGGACCATTTGTTTCCTAAAAACCTTTAGGATTAAAGGAATAGTTCACTTTTCAAAAAACTTTTGCTGATAATTTACTCGCCCCCATGTCATCCAAGATGTCCTTTTCTTTCTTTCTTCAGTTGAAAAGAAATTAAGGTTTTTGATGAAAGCATTCCAGGATTTTCTCCATATAATGGACTTCAATGGGGTCCAAACGGTTCATGGTCCAAAAAACTGTTCAAAGGGCTTTAAACGACTCCAGACGATAAATAAGGGTCTTATCAAGGACCGTTCGAGTCATGACTCGAAAAAGATTTGTTCATTTTGATGATGAGTTCGAACAGGAGAGTCACGAAAGCGCATCACAGAACAGAGCAAGGCCAGCATTTGAGCTTATAAAACTTAAACTTTGTTATTTATTTATTAAATGAGCGATCGTTTCGCTTGATAAGACCCTTATTCATCGTCTGGAATCGTTTAAAGCCCTTTGAACAGTTTGTAGTTTGCACTGAAACTGTCTTTTGGACCTTGAACTGTTTGGTCCCCATTGAAGTCCATTATATGGAGAAAATCTTGGAATTTTTTATCAAAAACCTTAATTTCTTTTCCACTGAAGAAAGAAAGACATGGACATCTTGGATGACATGGGGGCGAGTAAATTATCAGCAAAAGTGTTTTTTTTTAAAGTGAACTACTCCTTTAAGATTATTTATTTGCACAAAAACAGAGCGGGGGAGCATGCCCAAAATACCAATAACAAAAAATCTGGAATTTCTCATTTTTGTAAATAACTATAATATACATGCCTCTGTTCAAAAGATTGTGGTCCGTAAGATTAAAAAAAAACAAATGTTTTTGATAGATGTTCCAAGGCTGCATTTATTAGATCAAAAATACAGTAAACAGTGAAATATTATTATAATGTAAATCATCTGTTTTCTATGTGAATATACAGTAAAGTGTAATTTATTCCTGTGATCAAAGCATCATTACTCCAGTCTTCAGTGTCACATGACCCTTCACAAATCACTCTAATATAAGGATCTGATGATCAACAAACATTTATGATTATTATCAATGTTGAAAACAGTCGTGCTGATTCATATTTCAGAGAGAAACAAATTAGTTTTGTTCAATTTCACACATCCTCTTTGAATAAAAGAGTAAAGAAATGACTTGCCCGACCCCAATCTTTTGACCTTTAGTGTATTTTCTATGTGATGTATTAGAGAAGGTGTGTTCAGCATGTGGTGTCTGCACACTGTGATCGAGGCTAGACCGGGCCGGTTGGGTTTCGCAGAGCTTGGCACATGTTTGGGACGTGACCCCAGAACCCCATAACGGTTAACCTTTGACCTCTAACCCCTGCTGCCGCTTGTGTCCGCATATGAGTGTGTGTGTGTCTCTCCCTCGTGCCCCAGTTTCAGCAGACTCTTCAGCTCCTCGTCCGGCGCCGCGGGGAAGAAGCCGGACGCCCCGGTGAACCTGAAGTACAACGCTCCCACCGCACACGTGGTCCCGTCCGTCAAGAAGAGGAGCAGCACCATCGCTCAGCTGCCCAGCGACAAATCCAAAGCCTTCGACTTCCTCAACGAGGAGTGAGTGACGTCCTCACACACTTCACACACATGCATGTCATGGCGTCTCAGCCTGGGTCCAGAATTTACACATTAGCGAGGCCCAAATCTGTCCTGTTACACTCACACACACACACAGCTCATTATCCGAAATCTCTATAAGCACTCGAGTTCAACTTTTGAAAGCACAGAAATTAAGAGCCGTAAATATTAGTTTTTTTACTTGTAATTTAAATAAATGCTACAAGTATTATAATGTATTTCAGACACTAAAACATTAGGTTTTCATTCTTTTCAAAATACTACATACTAAAATACTATTTTATTTTACAGAACAATAGTATTTTTGTTATTGTATTTCTTTCTTTTATCATTTCAATATCAATTTTTATCATTTAAATAATAAAATAAAAATATTGTTTACCATAATAACATTATTATTATTATTATTATTATTATTATTATTATTATTAATACATGCTATTAATATTTTTTTATTTTATAGTATTATTTTTTTATTGATTTTCTGCTATTTAAATATTAAAATACAACTATTCATTTTAATGTTAATGTCATTTTAATTTTATGTCAGTTTTTTTTATCATTTGGAGTATATTGTTTCAATAATAATGACAATAATAACAATTATCATAAGTTATATTTTTTATTATATAGTACAATAGTATATTGCAACATATTTCTTCATTGATTTGTTTAATGTTTAGAATTAAATTTATTATAAAATGAAAAATTTTAATAATAATAATAATTATGATTAATAAATGCTACTAATATTTTACAGTACAATAGTATTGTATTTCTTCATTGATTTAAATAAAAATAAAAGAAAAGTTATTTTAATAATAATAAAACGTTTGTTTTATAGTACAACTTCATTGTATGTGGTTGTAATATTGATTTGTTTAATTTTTTCGTATTAAAATAATGATGAAACATATATGTTGTACAAATAATGACTATCATAATAATAATTATTATAATGACTATTATTTGTTTTGTCATTGAGTGGTTATATGAATGTTTTTTTCGGTTCTGATGTGTGTTAAGTTTCTCTCTCCGTGTGTGTGTGTGTGTGTGTGTGTGTGTGTAGGGCTGAGGTGGAGAGTGTGGTGTCCCGTCGAGAGCAGAAGAGAGCTCAGTATCGGCAGGTGAAGGATCACGTGCAGAAAGAGGACGGCAGGTTACAGGCGTGCGGATGGAGTTTACCTCCCAAACACAAGGTAACATCTCAAACACACTCGCCACGCGCGTTTCCGTTACAGATTTACGCTATTTATTTTCTAAATGACGATAAAAAACCTATTGCAAAATGACGGTGTTTCCATTAACTGATGTTATGCGACTAAAACATAATTTTTTGCCTCTTGCGATGAGTCTTTACAAACATCGTAGCAACAGATGCTGGTGGGTTTATATATATTTATATATATATATATCTCAGCCGCCGCACTAGACATCATTATTAATGGAAGGAGACATAAGTGTGTTTTCCAAGGGAGAGCCGCACATATGAATATAAATTGTGTTATTTCTTTGTTGTTTCGAATCCAGTATTCCCATAATCCTTTTGTCTTTTATGAGTTTAATAAGCTCTCCTTTTCTGTCCAACCATACCGTGCTTCTTTAAAGTCTGAGTTTTTGCAGAACTACGCCCCCTCTGGCGAACAGCGGAACTGCAGCCAGAGGTCAAAGCCCCGAATCCCACTTATTTATTTCCCTGTACAGGATTATAGAAGGGCTCATTCAGCCCATCAGATGATTGTTTAAACATGTATGGGTTAGAAAAACAGCTATTTTTAGCGTGAAATGTTGCGCAATGCACCTTTTAATAATGATCGACTGTTACGGACGTCAGGTGACCTGTAAATGCTGACGGAAAAGAATAGTTTCATTTGAAAATTGTTTCATTCTCAGTGTTTGTGGGATTTGAATTGAAGCAGATGAATATCTGAAGGCTAATGGAAACGCGGATACTGACATCATATTGTTATTGTGCTTTTTCTCTGTATAGTTTTTATTTATTTATTTTTCAGGTTTAGTTATTGTAGTGCAGTACGTTGGCTAATAGCTCAGAGTTTACTTTTTATATTGTTTTTCAGATCACATTTATACAAATGTTTGTTTTTGTTGTTTATGGTTTTAGTAAACTTATATCAGACATAAACTTCTATCATGCATATTGTGAGAAAGCAAGAATCCCAATAAAAAGTTGGCTATAAATATAAAAAAGGTCATATTAGTGTTAAAGCCGCCATCTTGTGTGTGTGTAGGTTGCCGATGGTGGACAAGCGGAGAACAAGATCAAGAACCTGCCGGTGCCGGTGTACCTGCGGCCGCTGGATGAGAAAGATGCTTCCATGAAGGTGAGCCTGTGGCCCGTCTGAGTCCGGCTCTGCGCTTACTCACGCCGTCTGACCGTGTGTGTGTGTGTGTGTGTGTGTAGCTGTGGTGCGCTGCAGGAGTGAATCTGTCAGGTGGTAAGACTCGTGACGGAGGCTCCATCGTGGGAGCGAGTGTGTTTTATAAAGACGTGTCTGGAGACGAGAGCGACTCCGTCAGCCTCAGGAGGAACAAGAGAGGATCTCAGAGCAGCCTCGACCGACTCGAGCAGGAACTCACGGTGAGCACACACACACACACACATAATCAAAACTACACACACACACTCACACACGCATATAATCAAAACTACACACACACAATCACACACTCTCTAACACGTATGCAATTAATACAACACACACATAATCCCACTCACACACACATATAATCAAAACTACACACAATCACACACTAACACGCATGCAATTAAAACAACATACACGTAATCACACTCACACACACACTAACACACTCTCACACACATATAATCAAAAATACACACACATAATCACACACTCTAACACGCATGCAATTAAAACAACACACACGTAATCACACTCACACACACAATAACACACACTCTCTCACACACTCTCACACACATATAATCAAAACTACACACACATAATCACACACTCACACACACACATAATCACACTCACACACTCTCTCACACACTCACACACACATATAATCAAAACTACACACACATAATCACACACTCTAACACGCATGCAATTAAAACAACACACACGTAATCACACTCACACACACAATAACACACACTCTCTCACACACTCACACACACATAATCACACACTCACACACACACACAATCACACTCACACACTCTCTCACACACTCTCACACACATATAATCAAAACTACACACACATAATCACACACTCTAACACGCATGCAATTAAAACAACACACACGTAATCACACTCACACACACAATAACACACACTCTCTCACACACTCTCACACACATATAATCAAAAATACACACACATAATCACACACACTCACACACATATAATCAAAACTACACACACACACACACACACACACACATATAATCAAAACTACACACACATAATCACACACTCACACACGCATATAATCAAAACTACACACACACACACATATAATCAAAAATACACACACATAATCACACTCTCACACACACACATATAATCAAAACTACACACTCACACACACATATAATCAAAACTACACACACATAATCACACTCTCACACACACACACACACATATAATCAAAACTACACACATAATCACACACTCTCACACACATTCTCACACATGCATATAATCAAAACTACACACACATAATCACACACTCACACACACTCTCACACACTCTCTAACACACATGCAATCAAAACAACACATATAATTACACTCACACACACTCTCACACACACTCTCACACACACTCACACACACATATAATCAAAACTACACACACATAATCACACACTCTCACACTCTTAACATGCATGCAATCAAAACAACACACATAATCACACTCACACACAAAAACTCTCACACACACTCTCTCACACACTCTCACTTACAAACTCTCACACACTCTCTAACACACTTACAATGAAAACAACACCGACTCGAGCAGGAACTCACAGTGAACTCTCACACACACACAATCACACACACACACACACAATCTCTCTCACACACACACACATAATCGCACACTCTCACACACACACTCACTCTCTCTCTCTCTCTCTCTCTCACACACACACACACACACAGACACACACCATCACAATCACAATAAAAACGCAGTCTAGGGCTGTGCAATGATTAATCTGCTCCGCATGTCGTGTGTGTGTGTGTGTGTGTGTGTGTGTGTGTGTGTGTGTGTGTGTGCGTGTGTGTGCAGGAGCAGGAGAAGGAGCTGAAGCATCAGGATGAGCTCTCCAGCCTGGTGTGGATCTGCACCACGACACACGCCGCCTCAAAGGTCATCGTGATCGACGCCAACCAGCCCGGAAACGTCCTGGAGAGCTTCTTCGTCTGTAACTCTCACGTGTTGTGCATCGCCAGCGTTCCAGGTCAGAGGACGCCTTTAACGCATTCGTAAAAAGTGAATGTCATTTCATTTCAATTAAAGATGCGATGCTTGATTCGGTTTATAATTGCTCAGTGCACTCACTTGCGCCCTCTTGTGGGACTAGGAGACAACACAGCACCTCCCCCACCCCCCGTAACATTAAGTAGTGCCGTTAGAATCCGAATAAATATATAATAATATTTAAGAAAGAATTTGAATTGAGCTTTTCAGCTATTTTGACAGCACTAGTGTCCACAGATGGGTTGTGTGTGTGCGTCAGGTGCTCGTGAGACGGATTACCCCGTTGGAGAGGACCTGAGCGCTGGTGGCGAGGGTGAAGGTGCGCGTAAACTCAGCTGTGCAGACAGCACTGTGTCCACGGGCCCTGACAGGGGTCTGGAGGGCATCACTGTCGTCGACTGCTCCACTGACGGACCCGTGGCCGTCCCTCAAACCGTCTGCAACAACTCCACCTCCGGTAACTCAGCCTCCATCCCGAAGAACACACGTTTCCGTACTTCGCTAAGGGCTATATAGAAGTTGGGAAATACACAACCACTCAAAAGTTTTGGATCAGTAAGATTTGTAATGTTTTTAAAAGAAGTCTCTTCTGCTCACCATGCCTGCATTTATTTGATTAGAAATACAAAACTCCATACAAAAGCCCATACATTTGTGTGCCAATTTTGGTGAAAATATCTCAATTCGCTTCGGAGTTATAGACATTTATGTGAAAACAATACGTAAAAAATGATTGACACGTGACTTTGATTGAATTTTACTACCCCTTACTATCAATATTTTGGCATTTGGGCATTAGCATGTAGCCATCGACCTATGTTTCCAAACTTCTGACGGTGGTTTCGTCTCGATCGGACTAGCGGTTTCGAAGATATCGGAAAAATGTTTTTTAAATGCTAAATCGCAACGCTACACAAACTGTAAGCCGAAACCTAGCATGGAATCGTTGGAATCGGCAAGGATTCAGGAATTTTTACTCCTGTGAAAATAAGTCAAAAACAGCCAGAGTTATAAGCATTTGAAAATTTAATTTTACCACTAGGTGGCGCTGTTTTGAATTAACTTCTCAGGCTCCTTCAGGGCATTGTACTGACGACCCATACCAAGCTTTGTAACAATTCGTTCATGCGTTCAAAAAATACAGCATTTTAGCACATAATTCAAAATGGCCGATCTGGGAAAATTGGATATCAGTCGACTCGGCATTACGCCCTGAATCTAACGAGACCACTTTTATGATTTTTGGACAAACCGTTCAGAAGTTATGAACAAAAATAGCAATTTTTCATATCTCCGGACCAGTAGGTGGCGCTGCGCCGAAATGCAGCATCTACACGCTCATGCTTGTGATGACATGTACCAAGTTTGGTCTGAATACGATTGAGCGTTGCGGAGATTACAGCCTTGCGTGTGTTTTCGCAAGCGCTACGTAAAATTAGTTTGTGCGTTTATCGAAAACGGTTAAGCGAATCAACTTAAATTCCATAACTTTTTGTTGCCACTGCCTGGAGATGATCTGGTGCAATTTTGTTGAAAATCGGACAAACCTTCTAGGACGAGTTCGCAAAAGTAGGTTTTTTGGTCAATTCAAAATGGCGGCCATTTTTTATGATGGAAAATTACGTCATAGGGTGCAGTCGAATCGGCATGAATTTTGCTGATTGGCCTTACGGTTCAAAAGCTATTAGCATAATAAATTGAAACTTTGGACAGGTGGTGGCGCTAGAGGGAATGCGTTAAAAACACCAAAATTGGTATATTTAATGTTGGGACTGTCCTCTATCAGAATGTCAAACCAAAACAACTTTCCCGCAAACGGGTCTATGGGCTGCCATAGACGCCCAGTCGGGCACGGAATAATAATAATAATAAGAACCGGAACGGATACAATAGATATACAATAGTACAATAACTAGAATATAGATATTTTTAATGTTATCTCATGATTTGGCAGCAGGTATATTAGGTTACTGTCACTTTAAGACCTGACGCTTGGATCCAATATACTGTTACACGTGCATTTTCTTTCTCAACTGTTTAGGTTCACTTATTAGATAGCTGACTGTGTTTGTGTATCTCTCAGGGGATGCGGTTTTGGGTCAGCACAGGCCGGACGCAGCGCCGTCAGCAGAAGAAGCTCTGGAGGCCACAGAAAGCAGCACTAGCACGCCTGTAGACGAGAGCCAGACCGGCATCTACACCGAACACGTGTTCACCGACCCGCTGGGAGTGCAGAACAGCAGAGACACGCCGTCCAGCTACACTCAGAGGTCATACACAGCACTTCACGTCTCGGCCTCCATCAGTGTTGGGGAAACTCGTTACAAGTCCAGCTTTATTTATAGAGCACAAGTTTAAAGGGGTGCTTGATTATGAATAATGTTGTGTAACGTTAGTTTGAGCATAAACAACATGTGTAGAGTTCAAAACAAATGGAAATAGCTTTTTAACGGAGTAGTTCGCTTTTAAAAAAAACTTTTGCTGAAAATTTACCTGCCCTCATGTCATCCAAGATGTCCATGTCTTTCTTTCTTCAGTCGAAAAGAAATTAAGGTTTTTGATGAAAACATTCCAGGATTTTCTCCATATAATGGACTTCAATGGGGACCAAACGGTTCAAGGTCCAAATGAGAGTTTCAGTGCAGCTTCAAAGGGCTTTAAACGATTCCAGACGATGAATAAGGGTCTTATCAAGCGAAACGATCACTCATTTAATAAATAAATAACAAAGTTTAAGTTTTATAAGCTCAAATGCTCGCCTTGCTCTGTTCTGTGTGACTCTCCTGTTCGAATCTTTTTCCGAGTCAATTCGTTGATTTCGTTCGTTGAATGAGCTAAATGACTCGGAAAAAGATTCGTTCATTTTGATGAACGAGTTTGAACAGGAGAGTCACGAATGTGCATCACAGAACAGAGCAAGGCGAGCATTTGAGCTTATAAAACTTAAGCTTTGTTATTTATTTATTAAAAGAGCGATCGTTTCGCTTGATAAGACCCTTATTCATCGTCTGGAATCGTTTAAAGCCCTTTGAACAGTTTGTAGTTTGCACTGAAACTCTCTTTTGGACCTTGAACCATTTGGACCCCATTGAAGTCCATTATATGGAGAAAATCCTGGAATGTTTTCATCAAAAACCTTAATTTCTTTTCGACTGAAGAAAGAATGACATGGACATCTTGGATGACGTGGGGGCGAGTAAATTATCAGCAAAAGTTTTTTTTAAAAGTGACAACAAACGGCTGGTAGGGACTACACGAAATTCCTCCCAGGTTAGTGACATCACCAACCCTACAATTTACATAAACCCCGCCCACGGAATGTGATTTACAGATTCTCATGACAGAATATGCTAATCAATGACTAGAAGATACATATATTCATAAATTCATCAACTAACCATTCAGAATTGAGTTATCATCTCTCCATCTTTGTCTGACCCCGTTGTTTGAACATAAAAATTTTCAGCTCTTGAAGCTCCGCCCCCAATTTGCATTTAAAGGGACAGACACAAAAACGGTGCTTTTTTGCTCACCCTCGAAAAGTAACAATTTTAACATGCCATAAAAATATCTGTGGGGTATTTTGAGCTGAAAACTTCACACACACACAGATAGACTTATTTCACATCTTGTGAAAGGGGCATTATAGCCCCCTTTTAACACAACGTTTGTCTGTGAGTGTAACGCGCGGATATTACTAAGGCGTACTGAGATGTTTGTCACGCTCTGCTTCTCTAGGGAGTGTGACCTGGTGAAGGATGGCGTCAGCTCAATGTCTGAGGAACAGGACCTCATGAGAGAGGAGGCCAGCAAGATGAGCAGCGTTCTGCCTACGATGTGGCTCGGCGCTCAGAACGGCTGGTGAGTCCCACAAACCCTCACTCGGTGGGGCTTTTCACACTTCGAGTGGTCGAGTTTATTCATATAGCACTTTTAAAAGCAGCTCATTTTTGAGACTGTCTTTGGTTCACTGCAAAACTCAGCAATGCTGTCGACTTATGAATGTGCACATGGTTTGTCTTAAAGCACATTAAAAACACCACAGACATATAAACAACATTTAAAAGCTGGATTTACACCACAGCGGGACTTTAATGTAAAATTAAAAATTGAACTTTGAAAACAAAACAATACAGATAAATACACAATAAAAACATGCAAAAAAACAAATGAAGAGTTCAGATGCAAATGCCTCTAAATGCCATTTGAAATTTTCTTCTAAAATGATCATTTTTATCAAGCATATATATTTAAGTTCAGTAATTTCACTTAAATGACAATGAAGATTACCTATGAATTGCCATTTAAGTGAAATTACTGAACTTAAATATACAAGCTTGATAAAAATGATCATTCTAGAAGAAAATTTCAAATGGCACTTAGAGGCTTTTGCATCTGAACTGTTCAAATATAGTCCTTGAAAATTAAAATATATAATTATACGAACACACACACACAGTGTACATCTCCACATCCAGAATATGTGTTAGTGCAAAGCATTGATGTATTATGATATTGGTAAAATTACATTTTATTGTTGTTGTTTTTTTTAAATGCTCAAAACAAAAATGACAGTAAAATATTGCAATATTAGTATACATTTTTTTTATTTAGTACTTCTACTAATAGTATTATTATTTTATAGCTATATCGATCTACAATCTCAACATTTTAGCCAAATTTTACAGCACTAAAAACGAGAAAAGCAAATCACAATCGTTGTTTATATCAGAAAACCACCATTTTTTCCGCCAATTGTTTAGCCCTATTTAAGAGTCCCTAAAAATATTCAGGTTAAAGGTTGATGAATATGCTTTTTTTCCAATTACTCTTAATTTCCGCCTAAAATATTTAATCGGTTAGTTATGGCTCTTATGCAAGTAAAACTTACTGTCAAACTCAGTTAAAAAAATGGTTGTGAATGATTCATCAGTGATTTCTAAATACCCTTCTCCTGTAATAGCGAAGAGCTGGAAGGTCATGAGGTGCACTGACTGAGAACAGAGATGTATAGAGTTTTTTCTTCTGTTTCAGCGTGTACGTTCACTCATCCGTAGCGCAGTGGAGAAAGTGCCTTCACTCCATCAAGCTGAAGGACTCTGTCCTGGGGATTGTGTAAGGAAACCTCATCATCTGCATTCATTTACATGGGTATAAACTCATTGATGTACAATACATTATTATTTCTGGTTTCCCTCTGAAGTCACGTGAAAGGACGTGTTCTGGTGGCCTTGGCTGATGGCACGCTTGCGATCTTTCACAGAGGTGCTGGTAAGATTGCTTTTTTTAAATAAAACTAATGCAGATTTCAATTACCATCAGTAAAACATTTTCTTTCACCAATACCACATATACAGGTCGAAAAATTAGAATATCGTGCAAAAGTTCAGTAATTCAACTTAAAAGATGAAACTAATATATTATATAGACTCATTACATGCAAAGTGAGATATGAGATATTTCCTTTATTTGGTATAATGTTGATTTGAATATTGCTTACAGCTTATGAAAACCATATTTGGGGTTTTCATATCTGTAATCCATTATCATCACAATTATTATAAAAAAAGGCTTGAAATATCTCACTTTGCATGTAATGAGTCTATATAATGTATTAGTTTAAAACTAATATATTATATAGACTCATTACATGCAAAGTGAGATATTTCAAGCCTTTTTTATAATAATTGTGATGATTATGGAATCTTTTTAATTCCCACCTCTAGTTATTAATATTTATTGATTCGCATTTAGAATTTCTGGCCCAAAATGATATCTCATGTTTCATTGCGTTATTATCAGAAACAAAGCAACTGATTCAATGCACAACTTCTAAATCTTTAATAATATTTGAATAAAGGGTAGGCCGGACATCACTTCGGGCCGCTGCTGTGCGATGTCCACCACACCAGAAGAAACACTTTAAAGGAGTAGTTCACTTTAAAAAAAAAAAACTTTTGCTGATAATTTAATGTCATCCAAGATGTCCACGTCTTTCTTTCTTCAGTCGAAAAGAAATTAAGGTTTTTGATGAAAACATTCCAGGATTTTCTCCATATAATGGACTTCAATGGGGTCCAAACGGTTCAAGGTCCAAAAGACAGTTTCAGTGCAAACTACAAACTGTTCAAAGGGCTTTAAACGATTCCAGACGATTATCAAGCGAAACGATCGCTCATTTAATAAATAAATAACAAAGTTTAAGTTTTATAAGCTCAAATGCTCACCTTGCTCTGTTCTGTGACGCGCGTTCGTGACTCTCCTGTTCGAACCCGTTCATCAAAATGAACGAATCTTTTTTCAAGTCATTTGGTTGCTTCAATGATGAAATGACTCGAAAAAAGATTTGTTTCGCTTGATCAGACCCTTATTCGTCGTCTGGAGTCATTTAAAGCCCTTTGAACAGTTTGCACTGAAACTCTCATTTGGACCTTATATGGTTAATGGACCTTTATAATATGGAGAAAATGCTGCAATGTTTTCATCAAAAACCTTAATTTCTTTTCGACTGAAGAAAGAAAGACATGGACATCTTGGATGACATGGGGGTGAGTAAATTATCAGAAAAAGTTTTTTCAAAAGTGAACTACTCCTTTAATGATGTGTATTTGTGTTGCAGATGGCCAATGGGATTTGACCAACTATCACCTGCTGGATTTGGGCCGTCCGCATCACTCGATCCGCTGTATGACTGTAGTGCATGACAAGGTGTGGTGCGGATACAGGAACAAGATCTTTGTGGTTCAGCCTAAAGCCATGAAGATAGAGGTACGACTTTTCAACGCATCTCGAAGGTTTTTGGGTAACACTTTACAATAAGGTTCATTAGTTAACATTAGTTAATGTATTTACTAACATGCACTAACCATGAGCAATACATTTGTTACTGCATTTGTTCATCTTTGTTAACGTTAGTTCATGAAAATCCAGCTGTTCATTGTTTGTTCATGTTAGTTCACGGTGCATTAACTAATGTTAACAAGATTTTAATCAAGTATTAGTAAATGTTGAAAATAACATTAACAAAGATTAACAAATGCTGTATATGTGCTATTCATTATTAGTTCATATTAACTAATGTAGTTAACTAATGTTAACTAACAAACCTTATTGTAAAGTGTTACCGGTTTCTGAAAGAAATGAATACGTCTATTCATCAAGGATGCATTATATTAAACTTATCAAAACAATCATCAACACGACTTTTCAACACTGATAATAATCATAAATGTTTGTTGATCATCAGATCCTCATATTAGAGTGATTTCTGAAGGATCATGTGACACTGAAGACTGGAGTAATGATGCTTTGATCACTGGAATAAATTACACTTTACTATATATTCACATAAACAGCTGATTTACATTATAATATTTCACTGTTTTTTTTTTTTTTATTTAATAATTGCAGCCTTGGTGAGCAGAAGAGAATGATTTTTAGGCTTCATGTTTTTCATGATTTTAAAATGCAAATTATTAAACGTTTCCAAGGAAGAATTTTTCGGTAGCTTTTCTCATACTACAGTGTTTGAGGGCGGGGCAAAGAGACTGTTCAGCCAATCAAAATCACAGGCTGGCATTATGCTAATTAGTTACAAACACTGTCGTCTGAGTCATGTGATTAAACCAGCGTAACACAACGCCTTATTTCTTCCCTACTGAATAGAAATCGTTCGACGCCCATCCCCGTAAGGAGAGTCAGGTGAGGCAGCTGGCGTGGGACGGGGACGGCATCTGGGTGTCTATACGCCTGGACTCGACGCTCCGGCTGTTCCACGCACACACACACCAGCATCTGCAGGACGTCGACATCGAGCCCTACGTCAGCAAGATGCTAGGTGAGACATTAACGAGATCAAATGATCTCATCTTTACTCCCAAACCCATACGACTAACGAAGATATCTTTGTCTTTTTCAGTTGTTTTCATGATTTTATTTGTTAATTCAATTCACATATGTATGTATAGCATTACAGAAAATGCATGAATCCAAATTACAATGATCGGTTAATGCCAGCTGCATACTTTTTAGCACAGGTGTGTGTTTTTATTGGAATTTCACCCCTATTTCCTTTAATATATCTATTTTGCGTTAGTAACACAGGAGCTTAAGGACAAAAACAAACAGCAATATTGAATCCCAGGGCCGTTTAACTACAAGGTCAAGTTTATTTAAATAGCACATTTACAAGCAGTCACTACTGCCCCAAAGTGCTGTACAGATACAGAAAACAACGTAAAACAGCATACAATAAAGCATAATAAATAACCAAAGACTTAAGTTTGGTCTCATTTTAAAGAAGACACTAGGCAGATTATTAATGAAGTACAAAAAAAAGTTTAAAAAGTGAAAACAAAAAATGGTGTACAAAACAATGCAGTATTCGTTAATAGGCTTTCATTTTGTTGGCAAGCCTTAAAAATGTACATTTTTACCAATATTTTACCAGATGGTGCCATTTTCTCAGGTTTGGCCTATAAGGAGAATAAAGGATGTAGCTGTAATTACGTGCGTGTGTTGGTATGGACGTCAGAGTGTGGTTTGTATGAGTGTAATAAAAAATCGTGTGTGCAATATTTGAGAGAGAAAAACTAAAATCCAACCGCTGTGTGACTAGTGGAGTTTTACTGACATCTAATGGGGAAAATCGGTTACTGCGCCCAATAAAATCTCACTGAAAGCTCATTTTTGAGATATCAACTTCAAGTTTGGAACGCAACTTGTTTTAAATTTATTGATTTTTATTTTCACGCACTTTTTGTGTTCAACATGTTTCATAAAATATATTTCTTATATAAAATAATGTTCATAAACTTGCACCATTTTTTTTGTTTTCACTTTTTAAACTTTTTTTTTTTTTGTACTTCATTAATAATCTGCCTAGTGTCTTCTTTAAAATGAAACCAAACTTAAGTCTCAAGCTTCACATTATTATTTTTGACCAGACATTTTTGTCCATTATGGATGGACCCATGTGTAAATTTTTTTTATTTGACGCACAAAGGTTGATATATTCGGCTAAATCTCTGATGCTTCAAAACATGGGTTTGGAATGAGATGAGGGTGAGGAATAGATAGTTCACCCAAAAATATCGTTTAATGCCGTTGAAATGACTGCTGTAATGTGTGTCGCAGGCACCGGCAAACTGGGCTTCTCTTTCGTGAGGATCACGGCGCTGACGATTTCATGCAACCGCCTGTGGGTCGGTACCGGAAACGGCGTCATCATCTCCATCCCTCTATCAGAGAGTGAGTGCGTCAGCTGATCATGTCATCACTGTAACGTACAGTCAGACTCCTTCAACATTTCCCACATTATCAGTTTATTGGCTCTAGTTTATAAACATGAGCAGAACTCAGTTCTCAGATCAGTGTTTGATATTTGACTGGTTTTGTCCGTCCTTCTGTTGGACTCTCACACATGAATTATGTTGAATATCTGTTAAATTACACATTTAGATAATACCAGTTTAGCTCATCCAGTGACCAATGCTTTATGTTGTTCAGTGTGTGTGTAAAAAGAGCATTAGCAATTACAGAAAAGCTCTGCTCACTAACATAAATTTACTATTTTTGTTTTGACTGTACATGTCAACTTATTCTACTAACCCGAAACCTATCAGTCTACTAATACCTTGAGAGTTAGTTGTGTTTTAGTACCTCAGGGGCCAAAAGTTTAACATTGTTTTTTATTCCTATAACAGGAAGTAAAGACACATCAGCGTCGTCGAATCGTCCCGGCGGTGCGATCCGAGTCTACGGAGACGAGAGCAGTGATAAGGTCACGGCGGGCACGTTTGTGCCCTTCTGCTCGATGGCACACGCACAGCTGTGTTTCCACGGGCACAGAGATGCCGTCAAGTTCTTCACCGCAGTCCCAGGTGCAGTATATCCACCACGCTAACACTTTACAATAAGGCTCATTAGCTAAAGGTGCAGTGTGTAAGTTTTAGTGGCATCTAGTGGTGAGGTCGTGAATCGCACCCAACAGAAGTTACGGTGGCCGACAGGAAGTGATGTCGTCGTCTGAGACAGCGTCAGTTAAGCAATGTGGTTACTTTACAAAGATACTTTTACTTAACCCTTGTGCATCAATTAAAAAAAGTTACACTTGGGTAAAAAGAGGACAAAAATGTCCATGTCAAAAAACTGTAATAAAAATGTGACGCTTTGGAGCACAGACTTAAGTTTGGCATCATTTTAAAGAAGACCCTTTGCAGATTATTGCTGACGTAAAAAAATAATCGTAAGTAAATAAAACAAAAAGTTATATAGGTATAAGTTTATGAAAATTATTTATAAAAAATATTTTATATAAAATATATATTTTATAAATCAGATTGAACTCAAAACTGATAAGATAACTCAAAGCCATAAATCTAAATAGGTTGTGTTTCAAATTTGAGGATGATATCTCAAAAAATGAGCTTTGGGTAACAGTTTGTTTGGGCGTAGTAACATATTTTCCCCATTGGGTGGCAGCAAAACCCCACTGGAGCTCACAGTGATTGGATTTGAATTTGCAGTTTTTCTTTCTTAGTATTACAAACACACACATGCACGCTCACACATATATTTTTTTATAACACACATACTAACCACACTCTGACATCCATACCAACACACCCACACAAATATCGTTGCATAATTTATCCAGCTGGCTCTATAATATGCCGAAGCAGAAAACAGGAATAAAGCGATATTTGTTTTATATTCCAAACTTAAAAAAAATGGCACCATCTGGTAAAAAAATAGTAAAAAAATAAAATTTTGAAGCCTTGCCATCAGAATGAAAGCCTCTTAACAAACATTGCATAATTTTATAGTTAACTGAACCAGGGATTAAAAATGGCAGTTTTAATGGGTTTCAATGGGGACATTTTTGTCCAAAAGGCGCTGAGAGGGAGTATTTTTTGTGCCTAATGCAAAAAATATTTTTTTAAGAAAATGACGGTGAAATAGTAAAATTCCAATAAAAATACACACCTGTGCCAAGTTTTTTGCAGTTAGCTTGAACACAGGCAAAGTGATCCAAAAAACAAAACTGAAAAGGACAAAAATGTCCATAAGGATGCACAAGGGTTAATAATTCAGTGAAACAATATCATTGTGACTTGTTCTTCATTGTGTGAGTGTTTTATTCACTGACTTTAGCAGCCTCGAAATGCGTTTGTCCGTTCAGGGCCACCGTAAAAACATGTGGATGTAAGCGTACCCACGGTGTGTGTAGAGAGAAACGCTCTTTTTAAGCTAATAAACACGTAACGGTTCATTATATAAGGTCATTATACACCACTGAACACATAGTTATGCGTATGATATTGCATTTCTGTCAACAGATCCTCGTAAATATTACACAATTCAGCTTTAACCTTAGTTAATGCATTAACTAACATGAAATAACCATGAGCAATACATTTGTTGCAGACTTTGTTAACGGGCAGGGCTCATTTGCATATTCATAGAACTGTGCATACTAAATGAAGCAAGGGTGTCGAGTTACATTCAAGATATTTTAAGGCATGAAGAATATTTTTAAAGAGAAAAAAACTTTTAAATATGACATTTTGTTAATTAAATATGAGTGTTAAGGGATAAAATGATTGACTACAGGGAGACTTCAGAGCAATAATCTCATAGTGTTATATATACGTTGTGTAAGCATCTATGCCAACTCAGATATGCATTAAATAGTCTATGTAGAAGCATCTGGATTTCATCTGATCGGTAAAAGCACTATAGTGTAATTCTTATTTTTAATTAACTGATTACATCTTAGAATATGACATCAAAAAAAGATGAAGCATGTTAGAAAAAAAAGACCGAAATGAAAGAAAACAGAGTAGTTTTACTATATCGAATCTAAATTTGATTCGAAATCGAGAGTCATGACTCCTAGAATCGAATCACGTGACTCCAGGAATGTCCACGCCGATTACAGTGATGTTTCTGCGGTTTTGCAGGTCAGGTGGTGTCGTCCACAGGCTCGGGTGTCGAGGCGAACGCTGACGAGTCTCCCACGCCAGATCTGATGAGATCTGTGCTGGTCATGAGCGGAGGAGAGGGGTACATCGACTTCAGGATGGGTGAGCGCATCCATTCACCGTCCATTTCCATTCACAAGCTTGTGATTTGATTCAGTTCCGCCCATTTGGACATAAACAGGGTTTGAAATGAACTTTTTCACTCACCACTCAATTTGGCTGCTTAATTTGTAAGTTAACGGCAATTCAGTACTTCTACAAGCAAAAAAGAAGAAATAATGAACCAGATTAACTACGTTAAAATAAAAAAAATAGAATATGGTGCAAAAGTTCATTTATTTCAGTAACTTAAAAGCTGAAACTAATATATTATATAGACTCACTACATGCAAAGTGAGATATTTCAAGCCTTTATTTGTCATAATGTTGATGATTATGGATTATAGCTTATGAAAACCTTTTCACAATATTCTGATTTTGACTTTCCTAAACTATAATCCATAATCATCACAATTATAACAAATATAGGCTTGAAATATCTCACTTTGCATGTAATGAGTCTATATAATATATTAGTTTCACCTTTTAAGTTGCTGTATATCGTGTCACAATATATCGCAATACAAAAATGCAACAATATGTATCGTATAGTTCACTAAAAATAAAATGTACTACTGTACAGGTGAAACTGGAAAAACTAGAAAATCGTGCAAAAAATTCATTTATGTCAGTAATTCAACTTAAAAGGTGAAACTAGTATATTATATAGACTCATTACATGCAAAGGGAGATATTTCAAGCCTTTATTTGTTATAATTGTGATGAATATGGATTACAGCTTATGAAAACCTTTTCACAATATTCTAATTTTGAATTTGGGGTTTTCATGTAAGCCATAATCAACATTATAACAAATAAAGTCTTGAAATATCTCACTTTGCATGTATTGAGTCTATATAATATATTAGTTTCACCTTTTAAGTTGAATTACTGACATAAATGAACGATATTCACATTTTTCGAATTTGAAGCTCCTCCCCCTGTGCCAGCAGCTCATTTGCATTTAAAGGGACACACACAAAAGCGGCGTGTTTTTGCTCACACTCAAAAAGGGATACATTTAACATGTTATTTAAGAGTATCTGTGGGGTATTATGAGCTAAAACCTCACACACATACACACACACACACTTAAGGAGCCTTCAGAGAAACTTCTATTTTCAACCCCAGGCCTACTGATCACTCACACTTCTCCTCTCTCCGTATCTTTCAAACCGTAGGGGATGAAGGAGACTCAGAAAACCTGGATGAACCCACACTGAAACTACAGCCCTTCCTGGCCAAAGCTGAGCGCAGTCACCTGATCGTGTGGCAGGTCATGGCCAATGAGGAGTGACGTCACCTGATCATGTGACGAGTCATGGCCAATGAGGAGTAAACCTTTCTCACTCAGTTCCGCTTTATTCAAGATGTTAAGCATTGGCTTATAGTATTTCTCTCATGCAAATCTGTGTGTGTCCTGGGGCGAAATCACAACAGACCACAATGCACTGCATCTTGAGGTTTCGTGTCGGGTGTAAACGGTTTTGTTTGTGGGAAGAAGAGGTTTCACAGATCGAAAGCACTATGAGTGCTAAAGCAATATCCTCATATGAATGTCACCAAAGGACACAGAAAAGTAGATTTTATAGTCTCACTGCGATCATGTCGGAAACTTTACGTTGTGCTCGTCCGCTGTCTTTTTTAACACTAGAGCAGTTTTTGCAGGAAAGCAACGTGTAGATAAACGAGCAGAGACAAAGGCATATTTTTATGAGACTTTTGTACGCGTCTTTTAGACTGTAATCTGCCGTTCTGCTGGGTCCGCTCGCAAACTGGCCATCGCAGTATTTATTTCTACGAACGAGCATTTGCTGTTCAGAATGTAACTCTGTACATTGAATATAAATATATAAAATTACAAATATGTATATGAAACGTAGACTGCTTGATTTTATTCTTTTTTAAACATGATTGATCGAGTGTGGATGGATGGCTTATAGAAATGTACCTTCAATGATCTATGCACTATTTTTTAAGGACCGCAGGGGTGTGTGTGTGTGTGTGTTTAGATGAGTGTGTTTGTGCAACAGGTAGAGTGAACCGTCCCATGATGACATCAGCGTCCCATAAATATGTCCATCCTTCTCATCTTTGCCTTAAATCTATTAAACTGACATTCATTTTTGGGGAACTTGCTGTGTTATTATTATTATTATTATTATTATGTGCAATTGACAGGATGATTTATAGATGCACATAAAATGTCCTTTACTGAGAAGAATCCATAAAGCAATTCATAAATAAAGGAAAGCAAACATGGTTTGTTTATTGCATCTAATGGCCCATAATGCACTGCACAACATGCAAAAAGAAAAAAATGAGTATTTGGACACTTAATGTCTGGATTTCATTGCATTAGAAATGAAAAAAAGGTTCTAGAAAGAAGTCTAGCGTTCTTGACTCAATTTTAAAGAGCCATTTGTGCTAAAAAGGTTCTTTGTAAAAAAGTTCATTTTTTGTAATTTCGGTCAATGAGTTTTGGATGAATCCGTTGAGTGAACGATTCAAATGTTTCGTTCGCACTTGCATGACGACGAACAGAAAGAATCAAATGTGGCTCAGAAAAGTGAAATTAGTTCAGAAAAGGCATCGTACGATGCAAACAGTACCCATGCAGACAAAACATTTTGTATAACAGGTTTTTTGAAATATTGTTTAAATATGCAAATGAAGCATTATCTAATTAAATATGCACTATCTAATTAAAAAAAACACTGGATATAGACATGTTCATAATTCTTGGTTGATTTTGTTGACAAATTAGAGTTACAGGTTCTCTTTTAACCCTGAAAATCCTGTTTTTTATGAATTAATAAATTAATAAACCCTTCAGGATATGTAGATATGAATAAAACAGAAGGCTGGTGTGTGTGAAGCTGCCGAACCCGAGGTTTCCGACTCAAACTCATTATCTACAAACGCAAATAGGCAAAGTGTAATAAAACACACACACTTGATGTTTTGATGTTTTCTTTCACTAGTCTGAAAGCAAAGTAGACCTCAAAACTGAGCTGTGCTTGAAAAACAAACACTGATCTGATCTGCATACAGTGTCCGATATATATTCTACAGTAGTCAACACTGAAGTGGAGCTAAACCTACACGGGGATTTTGAACGAAACCTATTTGTTCTTGTCTTTGGACGTTTTTGATGACGTTTTTTGATCCATTTTACTGTAGTTCCTCCGATGTGAGCTACTTGATGAACTGAATGTCTGGAGTCTGTGGGTGTGGGTGTGTGTGTGTTTGATTCTCGCCACAGGAGGGCAGCAGAGAGGCGCTCAATTACTGCCTTTCAAATGACATTCAGTGAGGAAGAGCTGCTCCTCCCCCTTCTGTGATTGGCTGATGGCTGAGAACAAACAGTATGTACACACACACACACTATTGAACTTCTGAATCAGCACTCAGGCATTCAGTGACAGTGAGGGAAGCTCTGAACTCAACTGATCTAGTACTTATGGGGCGTTCATGATAATCAGCGAATGTTTTCTTCAAGACTGATCTACCCTCTCACAGTCTCATTTGAATCAGGAGACTGATTGCCTTTGGTCAAACTAGTTTTTAAAGGAGTAGTTCACTTTTAAAAAACACTTTTGCTGATAATTGACTCGCCCCCATGTCATCCAAGATGTCCACGTCTTTCTGTCTTCAGTCGAAAAGAAATGAAGGTTTTAGATGAAAACATTCCAGCATTTTCTCCATATAATGGACTTCAATGGGGACCAAACGGTTCAAGGTCCAAATGAGAGTTTCAGAGCAATCTACAAACTGTTCAAAGGGCTTTAAACGATTCCAGACGATGCGATCAAGCGAAACGATCACTCATTTAATAAATAAATAACAAAGTTTAAGTTTTATAAGCTCAAATGCTCGCCTCGCTCTGTTCTGTGACGCGCCTGTTCGAACTCGTTCATCAAAATGAACGAATCTTTTCCAGAGTCAACTCGTTCATTACGTTCGATGTGTGTGTTTTTGGGCTATTGACTCATCTCATTCCTGACTCAGTCTCCTTTAGCTGTCAAAACACAAATCAAACTCCCACAGTCCCACAGGGTGGATAGTGACCGCACTTCTGTTGCTAACTTCCAACATCCGGGAATCTCTACATCCACTTGTTAAAGGGGTCATGCAATGTACATGCACTTGTACTGAAATGTGTGTGTTGGCAGTTCCTGTACACAACCATCATCTAATGAAACAAATCCACCCAGTGTTATTGTTTTAATCTCCTTATATGTTTTCACGCCTCAAATTGAGCCGTTCGATTTTGTGACGTCACACGGCCCCTCCCACGATTGTTGATTGACAGCAGCGTTTCAACACAGACCCGCCCTGACCTGAGCGCGCCGTCATCATAGTCCGCCATTGTTGAGCAGAATGGCGTCTAAGCGATTGTGGGTGTAAAAACGAACACAGTCATTCTGATGCTCCTAAATCCGAACCGCTGAAGACGCAGTGGCTGAGTTTAGTTTTTGACGGGAATATTCCCCACGATCAATGTCAATGCATTAATGTTTGCGCGAATCATTTTCTCCTTATAAACGAGGGTCAGTATAAAGCTGGTTTTGCTGTGAAGTTGCTCCTGAAAAAAGAATCGGTACCAACTATTTGTGTCCCCGCTGCACCTCCAGAAGAAGTGTGTAGTTTTATTATCCTTTATAGTAATCTTTGCAGATCGCTCGCTTGCACGCTTCCCGACGAATCCGGCTGAGGTTTTCACTCATTACGGTATGTTTTCTATGTACGACATGTCTCAATTTAATTCATAATCCCACGTTTATAATGAACAACGGATTATGCGTAACCGAGTACGTGGTAAACACATAGCGTTCGCACATCTCACTAAGTTACTCCCCCCTGCCAGTAACGTTACATACAAAGATAGATCAAAGTGACATTACGTTAACCAACCGTTCACAAACGTCTTGTCGAACTTCTTCGCGGCCGCCATCTTGTTCCGGTGCGACTCCGGTTTGAACTGATACGGTTGCACAGATGTGTCCTCAGAGACTCCCGCTGCCATTCTCTCTCCAAAACACACCCTCAACTGTTGTCAAGGCAACACTCCAGAGGGGCGGAGTCAGCTAAGCTCATTATCATTTAAAGGCACACGCACTGAAATGGGAGCTGTGTTTGACCTGGTAAAATTAGTGTTTTCTTACAATACGAATGAGAATTTTTAATAAAAGTATATTACAAACTTTTCATTTAGACCCTAAAGAATCAAATTAACTTGTATGAAAATGGCATTATATGACCCCTTTAAGGCTGATGGGTGATCCTTAGATCATTTCTAGTGGGCTCTGATGGGTTTGGCCAGTGACTATGTGTGTGTGAGTGAGCACATGATCATTGACATCAGATCGAGAGGAGGAGGATCTCTTGACGGGTCACACACACTATATATCCAGTTTCCAGAATCCACATTTAGAAGTCGCTGGCTCAGAGCCAAGATGGAGGCTTCCACTAATCCCACATATCAGCACTCACACATGATCAACACACACTAACGCAGATTTCATACACAGTATCCATAAACACCCAACAGGAGGTGAACTTTATAAAGTATGGCCGTCAGAAGGCCGAAATGCACGTGTGTTTTGATCCGTTCCCAAGTTAACGCTCGACTATTCCTTTTAACTCTAATGAAAATAAAGTCAAAGTCTGTTCGAATAATCAAGTATAACAATTTATTATGTCAGGTAAGTGTATTATTACAATTCCACAAGATAATCAATGCAAACCATTAAATGTTTCAAAGAACAAAGAAGAACCATTTTACCTGACAAGGCTACGCGAGGCTGGGAGTAAAACTCCCAACCTCACGGACGGATCTGCATACAGAAAGTCAGCCCTGAGCTCTAGTTACATCTCCCTTTATAATCAAACATCATTTCATATGCAAGTTTCAGTGGAAATTTACTGAATCCCCCAACATGTTCATTGGGTGCAGACCTCTGCTCAGTTGTAATTTGCATTCAGACAACAAGGCAGAAGGTGTTAAGTCAAAAGGAACATCATTCTTTGTGCAAGAAATTTCTATATTCTTAAAAACCCTTATTACCTTTTCTTTTATTACTTTGGGAATGAGACATTATTACCAGTCACCCTGAGACCTCCAAAATTATTTCAAACACTCCTAAAAGATTATCACATTCACATTAAAAAACATATTCTTATGAGTTTTCAGTGTCATTGACTGTATTAATAAATTAATCTGTAAATTAATCGTTATGTTTTGATGTTTGAAAGTCTAGGTTTTGACATAAATTCGGATATCAATGTAATTTAAACAAATAATTACAATAATTATTATCGATTTTCAAATATTGGCATTATTTTTGCCTATATATAATTTCGTGTCATTTTATTATTATTTTTTAAAACAATCGAGTCCTGGTGTCCACTACAGAGGTCAAAGCATAACATGAATAAAATGTCTTTTTTTTTATTATTTCTTATGCTCTTAACAATGTGATTACATGAAGAAGAAAAAAAAAAACTTTTGAAAAAACGTTCTGGGCCTCAGGATGATATAAAGTATTTTAACCATGGATGGCACATGTTGCTTATGAAACATTTGAGAACAATGAAAACCAAAGTAAATGTTTATTCCTCAAACCAAAATGCGACAGAAGTATTGTCTGATTTCTGAAAACTGTGATTAAACCATCGTATATGGACTATTATGGTGATTTTTTAGGAGCTTCCATAAAAAAAGGGTTGGAACAGCAAGATGAGTAAACAATGATAGAATATTTAACTAATCCACCACAATTACATCTCCATCATTCTTTACCTTTCATATAAAGCAGAAAACAGGCCTTAAAGCAGATAACCCTCAAGCAACAAATCTAGAAATCTGCTGCAAACAATCGCATAAATCAAAACGTGCTTCAGTTAGTTAAGAAATTGATTTGTGATAAGAGGGTGAATCATTTAATTTCAATTTGGCCCCTGACAAAATCCAATTAAAGCATGTTTTTGTGCAACGCCTAGGCTTTTGTTTGGAGATGGTGTCAAGAGTATCTGCTAGTTACAGGGACATCTGATTTTTGACAACTTCGACAACCATGGCAGCTTTTCGCTTTCTCTAAACTGTTTGTGATGCTTTTATTCCCCAAACAAAACATCAGCGAGACGAGAAGTGTCAGTCTAACGGAGACTTGTGACTCATTGGGGTATTTTTGAACATGTGGAATGGAACTAATTCCTCTGATATTCTCAGCTCTGGAAGGGGCTAGATCCTCCATTTT